TATATTGTTACCGCTAGTTGCAAATCTAAACTACAATCCCATACATCGTAACCTAAACCACATGCCCATAAACTATAATCTAAACCCTAAGTCTAAACATCTTATCCTCAACCACAAGCCCATACACCAAACACTAAATCATAAGCACATATATATTTACCCTAACCAGAAGCGCTATGATCATCAGTTAAACAAATGCTCATCAATCTTTACACAAATCTGACATCTAATTATTTCCTACTGTGAGGGGGGGGGGGGGGTTAGTTTCGATGGATTTCGTTGTGAGAGGGGATAAACAGCAACCACCCAGATTTGAGAGTTGAGATGATGAAGAAATATACAACAAACGTTCACGTTTAAAATAAAATGTTCTTTATTAAAATCTATAAAATCAACTCCCTTCCTAACTAGCCTGTTCAACGCTATCTACTACTACTACTACTAACTCTACTAACTACGCTTTCCCATGACCATCACACCTACCAAATAAACCTTAAACCTCAGACCAAGCTTAAAACCTAAAACTGCTTCTAATAAAACCTACCGCCGTTCATGATTTCTTACCCCACTCTATAAAACTGTCAGCGAACGCTATAAAATGTTGTTACATGCGAGTTTACTGTATTTAAATTATTGATCCCCTCTTTTGAACAGTCCCGATAACTCACTCGTCTCACATAACCACACAACATCCACCACATACCCACACAACATCCACCACATACCCACACAATATTCACCACATACCCACACAACATCCACCACATACCCACACAATATTCACCACATACCCACACAATATTCACCACATACCCACACAATATTCACCACATACCCACACAATATTCACCACATACCCACACAATATTCACCACATACCCACACAATATTCACCACATACCCACACAATATTCACCACATACCCACACAATATTCACCACATACCCACACAATATTCACCACATACCCACACAATATTCACCACATACCCACACAATATTCACCACATACCCACACAATATTCACCACATACCCACACAATATTCACCACATACCCACACAATATTCACCACATACCCACACAATATTCACCACATACCCACACAATATTCACCACATACCCACACAATATTCACGCCACCCTCACACAACCCACAGGATTCACACAAACCTCACAATACTCACACACATAACACCCCTCTCTCGTGGTATTGCTTCATGTAATAAAAGAACCCTCACACAATACTCACACACAACACAAACACCACTCACACACAACTCACATCGTAACACCCCTCCCTATTGCTTCCCGTAATAATAGAACCCTCACACAATGCTCACACAACACTCACACAACACCCACACACCACACACCACTCATAACACCCCTCTCTATTGCTTCCTGTAATAACAGAACCCTCACACAATACTCACACAACACTCACACAACACACACACCACTCATAACACCCCTCTCTATTGCTTCCTGTAATAACAGAACCCTCACACAATACTCACACAACACTCACACAACACACACACCACACACACACCACTCTCATAACACCCCTCTCTATTGCTTCCTGTAATAACAGAACCCTCACACAATACTCACACAACACTCACACATAATTCGCATCATAACACCCCTTTCGCATAGTATTGCTTCCTTTAATAACATTGCTAGAACCACCGGATATTTCATTGCACTATTTTGACCGGGTGTTCTAAATGACGGATCTATTTTTCATGAACTGATTTTTCTTAGTTGCCGAAGTCAGACGTCCATTTCAGAACTGTCAGGGAAAAAAATGAAATTATTTAGCTTGGATGTGAATTTATAATTATATGGAGGATATTGATTTTCCTTCTCCGTAAAAAATGTGTTTGCCAGTTCAACTGAGCGATCGTTTGTCAATTTTAATCACTACAGTGGAGCGCCAAAACTCGCCATGGGACGCCAAAACTCGCTAAGGGTCGCCACAATCATAAATCGTTATTTAAAAACAAAACATTTCTTTGTGCAATATAACGCTGTAACAGAATTTGTGCTTTAGAATATTCTCGAAGTTGGATTTCGATTTCGATTTAGAAAGTGACTCGGTATTTTCCTATTTATTTCGGAAATGCCTTTGAAAGTTTTGCCGTCTATAACGACAAGTGGGACAAGTTCAAGGAAGGGATCCACTTCTGGGGTTCCTCAAATTCCTAAAATTACAATCCCTGAACCCACGGGGATCTCGAAGAAGAGGTTGAGGAAGATGAGGTACTGCCGCCAGAGGTCGAGAAAGAAGGAGGATCTATTCCACCTGAGAAGATTGGGGTCGGGGTTTTTCTTCGAGACTGTTAGCTTGCCGTTGGATAGTGCAATATATACATATCACGTGGTAGGTTCTTTTTTTTTATGCATTTAATTTTGTCGTTAGTGTAGTAGATAAAAATACCTAAAAATGGTATCTTAGACAATTTATTGATTTGTAAATCCACGCTTATTTTATTAATCAACCCACAATTGGATGGAAAGGGGGGGGGGGGAGGGCAAGAGAGAGTTGGGGGGGGGGGGGGTCATCATCAGTCCTGTTAGTGCCCACGACACAGGGCCTTCCTCAGAAAGTTGCTTTCATTTCTTCCAATCTTTGGCAACTTTCTTGGATAAATCCCCAAAACAATCCTCTTCTTTGCTTCTTGGTTGTACACTCCCATGTTTCAATAGGTCTTCCACTTTTTTTTTTCTTCTTCCTTGTGGAGTCCAACTTAACGCCTTTGTTGCATGCTCGACTGGCTTAAATCTAATATAGATTTTAAACTAGTGTTAGAACGTAGATCTAGTCTAGATTCCATATTTTTTCTGCCAACAAAATGTTTTTCTTATAACTTATAGGCCTTGAAGAAATAACTATGGGTTTTATATGGGGGACTTATGAAAAAAATACGTTTGATAAGTCGTTTGTGCACCCAAATAAGCTGTGCATAACCGATTCATTCACTGTACGGCAGTGCGAGAAAGCTATAGGTAAACAAACTAATCACGTGACCGACGGCCCCATTAAAAATAGGTCCATTCTCAGTGCATGGCCCAACCAACGCCTTTTTTTTCAATTACTTCTGTAGGCCTAACTGTTTCCATTTCTCTTAGTAACTGTTAGTGGTCTGGGATGCTGATTGGTTATTTTATCAACATCTGAGGTTAGGGTCGCCTTCACGATGTTTTGATGGTGGGTGATCAGTCTTTTATTTCCAACCCATACGGATGGAGAGCGGTGGATTTTAAAAACGAGCAAATTTTCTCAATCATGTACTCTAAAATATCATAAAACAAAATTATTTTTGAAGACCGTTAGAGTTGCCACGATTCAATGTATGTTCATCAATGGCAGTCAGCTGTTATGTTTTTGTGCCAGTGGGCGAATGGGGGGGGGGGGGCGGGGGATTAACATCACATTCCCTGGCGAGCTGAAATTTTGAAAGAAAAAAAAATACTTTCTTAATAAACGACGCAGTTGTCGATTTCTGTGGGTGCGTGTTGATTTGTGGGAAATGGGGGGGGGGTTGTCTTGTATGTATGTATGTATGTATGTACATCATCAAGATAGTTTTAATATTCGTATAATCTACTCATCATCATCATCATCATCTTCATCTTCTTCAGCATCAATCTTCACATTTATACACAGGACACATGTTTCAGAGACCTCGGAATAAATTGAGTTAGGTACCCAAAAGAGCTAGGTGGACTCTTCTGACTTGAACCCGGATTCGAACTCGAGACTTTCGGATTGGCAGTCTCATAAGCTATTTTTTTTTTAAAAACACCATTTTATTGCTAATTCCAGCAACCCATTGAACATAAAAATGACTTGCTTTATAATTACACCAACATTCCTTAGTGTTCGCCACTCGATCTCATGCACGTGCGTTTTCTGTGTGAACTATGACCTTACAGGTGAGCGCTATATAGACCACATCGGGACGACTCGTGAAGATCGTTTAAAGCCTTTGTGCGATATAAACGTCACACACAAAAATAGATCTCTTTTGGTTCACACTGCCATTTTTCTCGGATTAGCGGTCGTCTATTAATTACGTAACGCTGATTTCCCTTCCTCCGCAAACCCACACATTTCTATTTCTGTCACGAAAAGCCAGCCTGCATTCCAGACTTTTACACCCTCTCCCTATAATCATATAACTAACAACCTAAAAAAAAACACGTTACGATTTTCATTATTTTACTTCCAATTGATACTCATATTAAGCTAAGTAGTCGCATTTTCTTAATCCCCCCTCCGTCTCGTGTCTCCAAAAAATCAGAATTCCCATTTTCTTTTTTCTTTTTAGTGCCATGACGTCATTTCTGAGCGACCTCTTAAAAAGGTTGTTGAACGTTTTTTGGATACTGATTGGCGACGTGTCCTAAATTGTCTGATGGCTATACACTATAGGCCTACTTAACCCAACCCGGCGTGTCCCTAAATGCATATAACTCAAACCTAACTTAGCTTATTGAACTTTACCCTATGCCATCTAAAGAGGGGCAAAGCCATAGAGTGGGGAGGGAAAATCACATTAAGAGATAAATATGCCCTAAATTATTTCCTCTATTTAACTGATCTTGTAGTTTGTTTTTGGTTGTTGTTGTTTCTTTTCGTTTGTTTTTTCAATGTGTTTCAGAAATATTCTGCATGTAGGCCTATATCAGAATATTCTAACTTTTATAACCTTCTATTTAAATATATTTTTTTAAATTAAATCACACAGAGGTCGTCCCCGTCCTCCCCCCCCCCCCCCCCGTCCCCGTCCCCGTCCCCAGAAGAGATGCCTGGAAGAAGCTCTGCTTGTTAAAGCCCTGCATCTAATCTTATATATTGTTTTAGTTCGTTTTCGTTTTTCTTTTCACTTAAGGTGTACAATCAAAGTATAGACCTTTTTTTCATGAAACGAATTCAAACTCAATGTTTAAAATTTTAAAAAGATATTTGATTTAAAATATTTTTTTACAGTCTCTACTGGATTCCCAGCAAGGCAGATTTACCATCAGAAATGACTTGCCAAATATTAACGACAAAAGCCAAAATTCTGAACCGGGAAAGTCTTTCAACAGTGGCTCAAATGTCCCACGTCTGTCTAAAAGACAAAATGGTTTGTTTCCCTTTGATTTTTCTTGTATTGATAAGGGAAAATACCCAGAGAGTCTCTTAAACCTAATCTAACGATTTTATGTGAATAGTAAAACTTCAAGTAGACTTAAAATACTAAATATTTCTAAAAAAAATTGTTCCTAACTAATAATATTCTTAAAAATGTAACAGTTGATATATTTGTCCACTGTGAAAGTGTTAAAATCCATAAAGTGTACACTTTGTCCTATGCAATTTTCATTGAATAACATATTAGTCTCAAATTTTCTATTTACATGTTCCAAATTATCAACAAAATACTGTTCATACATCTGTTATATCTACCAATAAAAAAAACTGATTTAGGTGGGTTTTTTTTATTTTAGGTGCTAGAACAAAGAGTGGATCCGAGTTTTCTGAAGGTGAACCAGAACACGTGATCCCATCAGTTTCCATCAAAGATGGATCCGAGTCTTCGTCAGAGTTCTCTGGAGTGCCAGTCTTACCTCCCATACGTCACACATTATCTCCCATCAGAGACATGAGCAGGGAGACAACCTATCAAAATGTATTGTTACCTTCTATAGACCAGCGTGAGTTTTACACATACACAGTTATACACATAAGTGTTCACTCACATATGCACACCTATATGTGCACCAACATATATACACAAACATTTAAGTATAGGTTTTATATAAAAAGACTATATATATATATATATATATATATATATATATATATATATATATATATATATATATATATATATATATATATATATATATATATATATATATATATATATATACTGAAAAAAATGTCTATGGATATATATATATGGGTATATATATACACATGCATATATATAATTTTAAATCCATATGTTCACAATAGGTATATGTCTCACATACATACAAATACATGTATATGTGATTCTAAGATGAAGACATTGACTGTTCCCCTCCCATAGGTGGTATGTTACTTGACCCACCAGCTGTCCATGTGCTACCAGCCACACCCCAGCACTCCACCCTCTCAGCCACAGCACTAGCCCAGGGGGAGGTCACGGGTCAAAATGGTAAATAGACATTGTGTGCTAATGTCATAAAATGGTAAACAGACATGGTGTACTGATATCACAAAAATGGTAAATAGACATTGTGTACTGATCTTATAAACTGGTCAATATACATTGTGTTCTAAACTGACAATTTTTTTTTCATAATTTGACACCTCATAAATGAATGTATCATTTTAAAACAATACGAAAAAATATTAGTTATTCTATCTCTACATTTTTCCTGAACCCCATTTTCTTGATCTTCAGTCAAACCACCTGCTGTTGGGACAGATAACTCTGCCAGTGCTGCGGATAACTCTTTAAATATGAAATTAAATTTCAAAACCCGCAACAAAAGTAAACATGGTAAGTCTTTAAAAAATCTGAAATTTACTTAAATTATTTTTTTTAGTTGTAAATTAAATAGTAAAGTAGTTTACCTAGGGCTAGACAATCTAATTTAGTGCTTTTACTTTTTCTACCCCTTAGGGGGTATAAAATGGTGTAGGCCTACATTAATTAATTCATATAAGTTTTGGGCATACTTTGTAAAATTTTTATCTGGCTATAAAATACCCTGTCAGTCATGACTTGAGCTCACAAACTCTAGTACAGGTAGCCACTGGGGTAAAGAAAATTAAACTTCGGTTAAATAGTTTCTTACAGAAATTCACATTTCTTTTTTAAAAGTATTACAAAAAAAGAACGCATTTTAAAATGAACATGACAAAATAGTGTTTATCTGTATTCGTTAGAGATTTTTTTTTAAACACAGCCTATGTGCTAGAACTTTAGACATATTGAATGCTTGTAGTTTAGACAGTGCTTAAGAAATTATCTTTAGGAGAATTAGCAATATTAAAAAGTAGCCAATTTAATTTTTATCTTCATCAAAAAGCTTTTATTTATTTTATGTATTAGTTTTAAAGAGAAACAACATTTCAGAGAGAATTTCAAGTTGATGTGTTCACAAAAATTAATCTAGAAACTGATGTTTTAAGAAACAAATAAAAAGTTGAAAAATAAAAACTTGGCATTAAACGAAACAGCTACTCCCTCTCTTTTTAATATCATGAATTTACAAGAACAAAACTAAAATACTTTTTTATGTCTCTTTTTATTTCCTTAAAACAATTTAATGCAATTTTGTACAGCACATTTTTTTACAATTATAATAAAAGTTATTGTTTTTTTGTTGTATATAGCTGCTGAAGTACAGAATATTTTCTATCTTTGACTGTAAGACTTACTGCAAAACTTTGTTACATATCCGTGTCACACATGTAGAGGGACTAGCTGATTTTTCAAACATTAAAATGGTGTATTCACTAGTAGGCCTATAAGCTATAACTCTAAAGCATGTTGATTAAAGAAAAAAATTTCTCCTGTTCTTCTTCATCTTCGTTCTCAATTGTAATTATAAGTCAGATTTCCTCCATCTCAATTAAGTATTACTTGTCAACCTAATGCATCGTATAGGCCATTGACTCAGATTTCAGCCTGCTTGCTTTTATTTTTGGATTTGCTTCCATAGCCTTTGTCCAACCAAGAACAAGCTACAAGGCAGCGGTTGTTTGATTGTTCGATTTTTCTCTCCTAGATGGGTTGGTGTCCTCAACTATTGAGCCTCTCATTGGTTCAAATCTTATTTGTCATTTGCTGCTGAACTGGCGTGCTAAATATAAACAAATGCGACTGATCCAGTCTGATAAATTGTTTTTGGTCTAATAGCGGTCAGACAATTTAATGAACAATTATAAACCTTTATTTTTATAACATTTAAAATCAGAAACTTTGATTGAAATAATCTATTGATGCTCATTTAAACATTAGCTAAATTGTGATAATTTATATCAAATTTAAAAATTTGATTTTTAAAAATCATAATAAAATTTACTGTTTGTGTATAAAACATTAAATTGTGATAATTTATATCAAATTTAAAAATTGGATTTTTGAAAATCATAATAAAATTTACTGTTTGTGTATAAAACATTAAATTGTGATAATTTATATCAAATTTAAAAATTGGTTTTTAAAAATCATAATAAAATTTACAGTTTGTTAATAAAACATAAAAATCATCTTTCCAATAAATGTATATTTTCATCAGATTTTCAGCCTTCTGGTATAATATTCCACCCACCAACTCTGTCACAACCTCTCCCTAGACATTTCCTCCCCTCCCTACAAGACAGCAGCCGCAGTGATTATAGCACTGTAAGCCACGCTCCACCTACTTGTATTGACTCCTGGACCTTTGATGGAGAAGGCAATGCAAAGTGGCATAAATTTAAGCTTGGTAATTTGAAAAAATCAGCCCAGTTTTAATCTTCTGCTGGTGACTGCATAATATCCATGAAAGATCTGCATGTATTGGCCTATTTAATCAACACATTAAGCTACTATGTATTGGTGATGAAATAACCAGAGTTTTGAGTGCTGCCACATTTACAGTTCTGTCTATATATTGTCTGCACATGCAATATTTTATATATACATACAATACTTTCAGCTTGTGATTTGTAAATTATTTAACATGAACCCAGTAAAATTTGAAACTCTGAATGAAAAAAAAAATATTGTATAATAAAAAAAACTTAACTCGCCCTTTTATATTTTATTGCTCATCACTATCCCGGCCCAGACTAAATATGCAAATGGGACTTATTAATGTGTGAACTAACACTTAATGAATTTATGTTTTATGGGATTCTGCCTAAAAATTGAAAGCTTGCATGAAATTAGTGTAACCTTATTGAAGTATTTTAATTAACAACTGAAAATCATAAAAAATCACTTGCATGTATCTTATCTTAATTTGAATTTTTTAAAATATGAGCTTAATATATTTGCATCTACATAAACAAAAAAATTATTAATTCATTTAAATGTGCTAAAATCTTTTAATAACAATTAGGCCCAATTTTACTTAGAAACACTAAAAATAAATTCTATAATTTGGTTTATTGTATCATAATAAAAAGTTAACAATTTTTACAACCCCAGCAAAAAAATATTTAATGTTAATTTACAGGATTCTAATTTTCTGAAAAATATTGCATTTTTGAAATATTCTAAAATGTATGTAAATTATGTTTTAAAGTTGAATTATCAAATGTTTTCATGTAAGAAAACATATCTATGTAATCTAATGTCACATACTGATGCATGACCATGGGCTTCTAAAAATCAGAAGACCTACAAGCAACTTTTAAAACAAACTTGATTTTTCTTCACTTAAGTAATATAAACAAAATCATTATTTAAAACCCTGACCACCGATGCCCAAATCAGAACTATTGTATGCCTATGGTGTTGGATGTATTTTCATTTTTATTTTTTCATAAAATTATATTTGATATTTGTCTAGAAATATATAGTTATAAAATTTATATTTTAATTGTAATTAATAAAAACAAATTTGTAAAACTACAGAGCAAACTTTTATAGATACATTTTTTTAATGTAATTCAACTTGAATAAATGTGGGTTTTTAAACTATAAATATATGTTAACACAATGCTTTTAAATTGTTTTATTAGGAGGAAGTCAGTCTGGTTCTTTAAAGGGTAGTGTAATTATGGCTCCTGATGGAGAAATCATTAGTGTTGGAGGATCAGTAGCAAGAAGTAGTGGAAGCAGCTATGATGTAGGCAACATCAATGATGTCATCAGTACTAATCGCCCAGAAGGTGAGTTAACTAAATAGGTTTTTTTTAAAGTTACATGTATTAATTATGGATACCTTTAAAGTTAAATGTTGCATCACACCAGTTATGCGTATTCATTTTAGAAAAAAAAAATTAATTGTCTGACCATTAGAGTTTTTTCTTTTCTCAATATATTTTTTTTTACTATTTTTTAAATTGAAATTCCTAATTTTTGTTTACTGTATTATACACCCCATTAATTTAATAATAATGTCCATTAATTTAATAATAATGTAATTCATAAATTAATGTTTTTAATAGGCCTGTATCTTAGAGAAATGTTTACTTAAAAAAATATTCTCAATAAAGAAAGACTGGTATCTATTTTTAGAATTTAATATGTCTAATTTAACATAAATACTCTGTGTTATGAAGTATTTGATTATATCAAACTTATATATATATTTTTATAAAGTAGAAAGCTTAGTAGACTAGGCTACAAATGCAATTTGAGCCAGAAACTTACTTGATTTTTCAAAATGTTTTTAGCTATTTGCATTTAAAGTATAAAGTTTATTAAATGTAAACTTGTTAAATATAAGGTTTTATTTTTTTAAATGTTTAAAACAACTTTAGTTGTTTGCATTTAAAGTCTTAAGAAACTTTATCTCCTCCCCCAAAACACACAACAATTGTTTTATGATATTTGTACGACTTTTGTACAGCTGTTGCTGGTGGTTTCTCTGATGAGTCAGATCTTTCTGATGACGAGCCTGGGGAGTGGAAGAAAGATAAAAAAATGTCAGTGCCCAAATCAGAGAGTTCTTATAAAGTAAACAAAAGAGGTGAGTTGATGACAGCATTTTTTTTCTTGTATTTCCGTATTTAATTAATAAATATAATTATGTTTTTATATTAATAATCACTTGATATATTTTTATAAATGGAATGAACTTATTTTTTCTAATTCTTCCTCAAGCACTAATCTAAAATAAGAATAGCAGTGTTTAGATTTTTACCATATGTGTATGATTTCAAATGTTTTGAACAAAACAGGAAGTGTTGCTAGCTCTTCTGTCTCAAAGGAGGAATTGAATAAACTAAGCCCAGCAGGGAAATACCTTTTGTGGGATCAGGCATCCAAAGTTACAGGAGGTCCTTGAAATGTTTAATGTAGTCATTATATTCATATCTAACCACTTACATTTTTGCTTACATGATTTTTCTGAAAATTTTTATATTTACATATTTTGGTGTTTATTATCTTTTTAATAACTGGGTAGTTTTGTTTGTTTTGTTTTTAGTTTTTAAAATTTAAATCTTGAAGCTATTTTAGTTTTCAATATTCTGAATTATTTAATGCTTGAATTAAGACTAACCTTTGAAAGCTTTTTTCAATATTTCTTCTTATTTTTATTTTTGAAATCATTTTAAAATTATTGGAAACAATTAGTTAAAATAATACATATAATCACAATTACATCTTTATAAATAGGCCAATTAGGCATTTTAATTAATTTTTTGTTGAAAAAGTAGTTTCTTACAGAGACCCAGCTGTTATTTTTACATTATTATTTTGTGTGGTTGTCTTTAACCTGTAAATTTTTTTATTATTTTGTGTGATTTATTGGTTTTTTCACCTGTTATTGCTGTGACTTGCAATAATTGTTTAGCTTTACAATTTCTACTAAATTCCATACAAATAAGTTGTATAATTAGAGGTTATACATGGTGACAGGATTTTTTTCAGGATTTCAAGTTTTGGATAAGGAAACCCAACTTTAGTACAAGTAGCAGAATGTTTAAGCTCAAGATTAATTACTAAACAGCAAACAAATGTTAACCTAATGCAAAATGATTTCTTAGATTTTTTCTAAAACAGTTTTTGTTACAATTTTTTCTTTTCTGTTAGCTTCAGGTACCTTAACAGGCTTTCTATATGATTGATCTTTTTACATTTTGACTTTGCTTGATTGTTGTAAATATTTACAGTTATTTGATACTAGAGCATGATGCTGTTCTTCAACATTGACTAATTTATAATTAAATGTTTATTATTTGTCAGTAAGAGGCTACTTGGCATACAGATAAATGATACCTGTACTAATATTAAACAATAGAATTTATTTACTTCTCATTTAAATTGCTATTGGTTTTATTCTGTTAAGAATCGAAGTTAACGTGTGTCTAAACTAAATAGGCAATTTAACAGGACTAGTTTTAATATTAAAAAATTAAAATTGTTAATTTTATTTTGGTATGCCATTGTTTAGTGTTGAATTTCCCCTCACAATTCTTCTGGAACATTACAATTTTTCTACTAATTTGCAGATTCCTCGTCTCAACGTTCCAGTTTAACAGAACAAGATATTGTGGATACACTGACTGACCACGCCCAGCTGATAGCTGACCACGTTCTCAGCCAACCTGATGCAGGAAATAACCTTGAGAATGACGTGAAGGTGAGTGATGTGATGAACTAATGTAGACTGAAATAAAACTTTAAAAATGTAGACTGAAATAAAACTTTAAAGATGTAGACTGAAATAAAACTTTTAAAATATAGACTGAAATAAAACTGTAAAAATTATAGTTGCTATCTGTTTTAATAGTAACTTCATGTGAAAGTTCTAATCAAAAACTTTCATCTGTATAATACATGAAATCAATCATATTTTATTTTAAACAATGACAAATGATTAATATTTAACATGACTGGGATATTTTAACATGATATTAATATATCAATACTTTAAACTGTCTTCATTCTGCTTAATTTTGATCACCAAAAAATTATTTTTACATTCACTGACAGCTAAATAGTGAAAGCTTGTATTTCTATAATGTTGACTCCAACTGTAAAAGTGGAGTGGGGAGGGGAGGGGGTCTTGATTTCTTAGCTACATTGTTGTGTAGTTACAATCAATTTAATTACTATGTAAACACTAGTCAAATTAAGCATGATGAAAAATGAAATTTAATGAACCTGGTAATTAATTATAATTAAATTCAAGAGAGCTGCAGAACTTTGGGCAAAGTCTCATCCAGCAGATGCACATGCTATCAGAGCAGTAAGAAATCATGGACTATTTTGTAAAGTTGTTTTTTTTGTGTAGTAAAACATAAGATTTTTTTCTGAATTTTTATTTCAATTTTTTTTGTCAAAAGCAAAATTCAATTTTTGTTTATTTTTATTTAGTAATCTTTAATTTAGGGATTATTACCTTTTAAAGTTACTTTTGAATTACTTTACACAACTTGAAGAAACTATTTTAATTTTGTTTTTATTTTTATTTTTTTTGCTAGAACTTTTTTGAAATAACATTTTTGTTTTTCTTATAGTATTATTATTCATTCTAAATTATTCTTATCAGAAGAAAATGTTTGTTGTATTTTCTTTTTTGTAGCAATCCTTTTGATTTGCTTTTTTTTTTTATTTACTTCTCTTTCATTAATTATTATTTTATATACAATACATGTTTCTAATAGGTCTATAAAACATAAAATCTATTTGTAGATTTTTTTTTTAATTTACAGAGAGCATTTAATTTGTTTAAAATTAAATGCATTCTCATTACTTTTGTAGATTTTAACTCTTTATTTTATTTCATATATCTATATTATATCATTATACAATGCTATGTTAACTGACAATTAGGCTTGATATAAAATATACTTTATGTGGCAACCAAGTAAGGCATTTAAATCAAATGATTTAGATTTTCGTGAGTAGTACCACTTTATTAAGCTATTTTCTACACAATAGTTTTGTAATTGAGTAATGCCCACAATCATTCAAAATGTTATACTATAAACTCAGTTAACATGTAAATCTACAGATGTCCATAAAGCTAATAAATTATAGAATAAAAAGCTAGTCTACAATGTTATTGAACTTCAAATTGTCAAATTTAATCACAACTATATTTATTTTAACAAATGATTCTGAAGGCATTTAAATCAGTCATACTATTTATTAATTGTTTTTAAGCAGTAAAACATGTACATTTCCATTTTTGAAAACATATAGAAAATACTGTTAATTAATTTCAATTGGAGTGATGAGAAAAGATAATTGCTATTATCAAAAAAATTATATTTTTATATATAGTTCATAATCAGTTCAACTGTTTCAAATTTCTAGCATTCACAAATTTTTTTATATGTATTGGGTATACATTTAATTTATCTTTCTCTGTAGGAAGCTGTAGAGTCCATGATGCGCACCAAGAGTTCCAGCAGTTCAGCTTCATCAGCAGCTGAGTACAGGAATATGATCACAAAGTCTTTGGCTACAGCAGGTACAATCTAACACTTATTCCACAGATTCAATAAGTTTTAATGTTGTTTCTGCAATATAGAACTGAAAAGCATTTTTATAAAAATTACTTAAATCGATTAATTTTATAAGATTAGTTACAAAAAAACACAAAAAAATAACTTAAACATGAACAGCCTATTAAAACATATCTAATAATCATATGTTCTTTTTAATAACAACTTAACAAATGATAGAAAAAACAAAAACAAAAAAAAACGACTTTGTTATATTAAATCAACTTAACTCACAAAACCTTAATTGTAAAAATTCATTAAATCACATATTAAAAACTTTAAAAACATAATATATAACACAAATTTGAAATTTTTATAAAGTTAACTTACAACATTATATTTAAAAAATACAAATAATATTTAAAAAAAAACACAGAATTTTACAACTTCCACATTAGGTTACATATGACATAGACATATCTGTCAGCTTGTATACCATGTTTAGCTCCAAGCTCTGACCTAAGCTCCTTACTCTTGTTTAGCTGCCAGAGTTGCTGGCATTAACTTAAGCTCCTTACTCTTGTTTAGCTCCAAGCTCTGACCTAAGCTCCTTACTCTTGTTTAGCTCCAAGCTCTGACCTAAGCTCCTTACTCTTGTTTAGCTCCAAGCTCTGACCTAAGCTCCTTACTCTTGTTTAGCTCCAAGCTCTGACCTAAGCTCCTTACTCTTGTTTAGCTCCAAGCTCTGACCTAAGCTCCTTAATCTTGTTTAGCTGCCAGAGCTGCTGGCATTGACCCAAGCTCCATCACTGTGGAACCTGAGCTCAGTCCAGAGCTACTGGAGGCCCTGGTCAACCAGACGCTGTCACCTGACCAGTTTGAGATTGTCAGTGACAGTGACGGCAAAACCAGGGTCCAGTCCAGAGTGGACCTGACGGCAGCCATGGGTGGGGTGGAGCCTGGACATTTGTATGTCTCCGCAGGATCTGGTGGGTTCATTGAACTTGTTGAAATATTTCTTGATTTGGTAGGAATGTAACCGTAAATGATCTTGTGGGTCAATAGGTACCAGTTCTGTCATTCATATGAAAAGTAATATAAAGTACCCTTTCAGAGCTGATAATACTTTTAACAGATGAAGTAGAGTTTATCTGGTTGTTTTTTAATGTTAGGATATAATGATGCTTTCAAGAAAATGCTAGGCTTAGTTATTTTTAGCTTGGTGTAAGAAATCATTTTCCTTAAACTTTAAATGAGAAAAGCATTCAGCTGCCAGCCTGAAGGTTTGGATGGGAGTTCGGATCTTGGTCTGGACTCCCTGAGTCTACCCAGCTTTAATGGGTACCTGACTCACATTTGGGAAAGTATTTGGGAATAGTGCTGACCATATCATCCCTTCATATGCCAAATTCAAGAAACATATGAACTCTATTTCATAGCCATATGAATCCTTGGGTCTAAATGGGGAACTTTATGTTGTTGTTTTTTTAAATCAGAAAAGGTACGCTTGAGTAAATTTTACATTACTCTCATAAAATATACATTTTTGCTTTGTATTGCAACTGAGACTACATAACAAATTTTTTTTTACTAATATTCTAACTTGAGAAATTTTTATAAATGATTAATATATTCACTCTTTATTTGTTCAAACATAGTAATAAAATTAATACTTCGATTTGTTGATGTTAATTAATGAAATTCTAATTTTAATTATAGATGAAGAAGGTCAGCGTAAAAGGCATGTCTCAATCCCTGCAGACAAGGGAGCAGTGATAGAAGATGTGCAGTCCATCAACATCTCACAACACTCTGTAAAGGCTCTCCCGGAGATGGAAGAAAAGGTGTGTTGAAAATCCATTTATTTTTCATGAAGGTAGCGATTTAAATATATAATTTACACTAATTAGGAAAGAAATAATAATTAAAACAACCTTTCCTTGTTGAAGGCGGATGCACAAGACGTGCCTACAGTGGAATCTAATGCAATCTCACAAGACCAACCTGTTGTGCCAGCAATGTTCCAGCAAAAAGAAGATCCTGATATTTCCAGTGAAACAGACAACACTGTGACAACTACACAAAATATAACAGAAGAGGTAGGACTACTGGATTTTAATTCCAAAAAATATTATTTGAAAAAAAAAAAGTTATATTAAAATTATCTAACTCACAACATAAATAAATTTTGTATCTATAGATTTTTTATCAACTGCTTGTTTTAAAAACACATTTATTTAATTTTGAATATTTTAGAAAGTAGCAGTAAAAAAAATTGAAAAGTCTTCCCCTGAAGAAGTGAAAAAACCTGTTGAACAGGAAAAAGAGACCTCTCCTGCCACAGAAACTAAGAAAACAGAAACCAAAAAGACTGAAAAGAAAACAGAAACAGTACCGGTAAACATGCTATTGTTTTATTTCACCCAAGGCATATAAAACCAAATAAATTATTATTTTCTGTGAGTGTATCCAAATGTAAATACCGTTTATAAAACCTGAATTATTGTTGTTGACAATATCTATTAGGAGGTCAAGTCAACACAAAAGCCTGAAAAAGCAAAAGTTAAGAAAGAGAAAAAATCAGCCACAGAAAAAGAAGAACCTTTTGTTGTTGGTAGGTAAAACAATACATGTTAATGTAGATATAATCTTAGTGTTCACATGAAGGTCATCTCAACCAATTTTTCATCCCAATTTATAAGTCTATCCCAGAAAGCAACCACATAAATATAGTTATCTGTTTAAATATTTATGTGTTCCTGTCAAGTAAACTATTCTTTAGCTGTGTTCTATTTTTTTAGGAAGTTAAACTAGTCAATCGATATGGCCTACTTAGCCTTATATTTTTAAAACCAATTTTCCTCTAATCTTTGTTAACTTAGAAATTTGTACTGTTAATCCTTTTCCATCTTTTCTTAGCAGCGTAAACTATTATGTAAAACATAGTTGTTTACAAATAGTAATAATGTCATTAGTTTTAGTTTTTTTTTCTAAAATAATTCCATGCCCTTTAATCACCAAATTTATTAAATTACTAATTTTGACAAATTATTTCAAGACTCCAAGACAACTGATCCCTGAATGGTGTCTTCTTCAAATTAAATAATTCCAAAACGAACCAAAATTAATTTTGTGTTTACTATACTATATAGTTTCTTCTGATTTTCCTGCTATATTTTTTAAATATCCTAAACCTTCCAAACCTGTAGGCAATGTTGACAGAGGCAAGGAGCTGAGCATGCTTTATGGGAGTGATCTCCCTCAGGCAAACCTCCCCATCCCACCTCCCATTCCCCCTACCCTCAAGCCTAAGGGTGAGCCAAGAGTGGCAAAAGACAAAGCTTTTTTTTTCTAATGCTTGCATATGCTATTTATAGAACTGGTGTGTGTATTGTATATCTTCTGTGTTTGATCTGTGTGTTTCACATGCTAGTTGATTGAACTGTATTCAAAAAATATCATTAACCTTAATAGGTCATAACCTTTGTTTTGTATTCAAAAAATATCATTAACCTTAAAAGGTCAAAACCTTTGTTTTAAAAAAACACTAATTCTTCCTAGTTGATTGAACTGCATTCAAAAAAAAATATAATTAAACTCAGCAGGTTAGTAGCTTTATTTAGAAAATAAACCCAAATTGCAAGAAAGTCTTGCTGTAATAGAATTAAAGACATTTTACACAATTTGTAGGCCTCCATTTTAGGGCTGACACTATAATATTGGAATACTTTTAAAGCTTTATATTTTGTATGACTTTTTGGTGAGTGACTTGTTGGGGTTTAATCAGAGGCGTAGCGATCCTTCCCGGCGCCCGGGGACAAACTTTCAATTTGGCGCCCCCCCCACCCTCAAAATGACATTTTAATTTGTTTTTACAGCCCATTTTGGCGCCCCCTAAGGTCGGCGCCCGGGAACATATGCCCCCCCTGCCCCCCCCCCCCCCCCCCATCGCTACACCTCTGGGTTTAATTGAGAACTTTTTTGTCTATGGGAGAGAAAGGGTTAATGTAGAGCTTTCTGGTGTGTGGGGTTTAATATAGCACTCACTGTACGGTGTGTGGGGTATAAGTTACAGCTTTATAGTGTATGTGTGTTCAACATATAGCTTTCTGATGTTTGGATTGTGTCTAATGTGTGGAGTTTAAATATATAATTATAGTCTAGTGTTTTCAGCATATTTCATTCATCAACTTTGTTCACACAATTATCTATTCTATTTCTTTCCCTAGGTGAGAAGTATAAATCATTATCATAAATGATCTGTAAAATAAAAAATTATTCATGTTTTTTTAATTATTGCTTGTCATTGATAGTATACACTTTTGTATTTGTGGTAAAAAAAAATGAAATTCTAAAATATTAAAAGGTGAATTTAGTAGATATTTAAAAAAAAAACGCTTGTTCAATATTTGTAAATTTTTAATGATAGGGTCTTATATATACAAGTTGTTTTGTATAATGTAGGTGTTTATAGTAATTCTAATTATTCACTGAAGAAACATAGAATTATAATTTTAATAAATTGAATAAATTGAAATTAAATAACTAAATTGATAAAAAAAACAATTCTAAAATGTTACTTTATTTTAAAAATATTTTCTCTTTGTGCATGAAATAATAATCTCTGGCTTAAAACTATTTAATTGTTTAGGCACACATTAAATTCTTTCAATTAATTATCACTTTTAATGAATCAAAACAAATGCTTAATAATTAATTTTCTGATTAACTTAAATTTAGGCAAACCAAAAGATAAAAAACCGAAGGAACCTGAAGTTAAGAAAGAAGATAAGAAACAGAAGAAAGGTAAAAAAGGAAAGAAAGGTGGCAAGAAAAAGGAAAAAGAACCAGAACCTTTGGTGCCAGAGCAGGCACCAGTGGAGGAACCAGTTGCTGCAGAACAACCTCTACCACCACAAGAACCAGTTGAGGAGGAAAAGACAACTCTTTCAGAAGTCAAGGTGCATTACTATAATGTTACTAAATATAAACCAAGTGCATATTTTTAAAGCACACAGTCTGACTTAAATTAAACTTCAATGCTGAATTTTTAATTTAAGGCCTATATTTTAATCACATTTTTATCATATTTTCAAATTATCTAAATCAGACTATATCTACTTTAAGAATGCATATACAACACATAGTCCTTATGTATTTATGTTTACTTATATATCTAAAGAAGACTAGCATTGTTCATCTTGTAAACTCTTATATCTATTTCTGTAATTAATCCTTACATAAAAATGTTCTGTATATACATTTTATTTTTAAAAAAAAATTATTTTTAATTTTAAATTTTTCCATCAGACCTTAACCCCTGAGCTGGAAAGGGAAGAGACTGAAATGGAATTTAATTTTATCCATGACGTCAGCCCTGAGCCTGAGCCAGTAGAAAAACAGGAAGTCAGGGCGTCATCACCAGCTGCTGATGTAGAAGATGTGTCAGAACCTGAAACAACGGTACGTAGGCTGTTTGTGTTGTAGTTTACGTAGGATGTTTGTGTTCAGTGTTTCTTCCAGACTTTTTTCTCCGGGGGGGGCACTTGAAATCTTCGGGGGGGCGGTAAACTTTCTTCGGGGGGGCGGACACTGTTAAAAGTATATATTTTCTATATAAATTATATAAATTTCATTTCGTTCGGGGGGCGGTAAGAATTTTTCGGGGGGGGGCTTCGCCCCCCCGAAGAGATGCCTGGAAGAAACTCTGTTTGTGTTGTAGTTTACGTAGGCTGTTTGTGTTGTAGCTGCTTCGTGAAATGGTTCATCTTTTAGGTGACATTAATAAAATTTTAGTTTTAACTCAACGTCAAAAGAGAAAACATGAGCTGAACAGTTGCAACAGTTTGAAGAGAATAAAATTCAACAAAAATTATGAGGACTATAATTCGGACTATAGTAAAATATTGTAGTCAATGAAAAAAAAATATCATAGAGACAGATCAGGATTGACAGAAGAATCTCATGTTAAACATTGTTGTAGGGAGGGACAGAAGAATCTCATGTTAAACATTGTTGTAGGGAGGGACAGAAGAATCTCATGTTAAACATTGTTGTAGGGAGGGACAGAAGAATCTCATGTTAAACATTGTTGTAGGGAGGGACAAAAGAATCTCATGTTAAACATTGTCTATTGTAGGGAGGGACAGAAGAATCTCATGTTAAACATTGTCTTTTGTAGGGAGGGACAGAAGAATCTCATGTTAAACATTGTTGTAGGGAGGGACAAAAGAATCTCATGTTAAACATTGTCTATTGTAGGGAGGGACAGAAGAATCTCATGTTAAACATTGTTGTAGGGAGGGACAGAAGAATCTCATGTTAAACATTGTTGTAGGGAGGGACAGAAGAATCTCATGTTAAACATTGTTGTAGGGAGGGACAGAAGAATCTCATGTTAAACATTGTTGTAGGGAGGGACAAAAGAATCTCATGTTAAACATTGTCTATTGTAGGGAGGGACAGAAGAATCTCATGTTAAACATTGTTGTAGGGAGGGACAGAAGAATCTCATGTTAAACATTGTTGTAGGGAGGGACAGAAGAATCTCATGTTAAACATTGTTGTAGGGAGGGACAGAAGAATCTCATGTTAAACATTGTTGTAGGGAGGGACAGAAGAATCTCATGTTAAACTTTGTCTGTTGTAGGGAGGGACAGAAGAATCTCATGTTAAATATTGTCTGTTGTAGGGAGGGACAGAAGAATCTCATGTTAAACATTGTTGTAGGGAGGGACAGAAGAATCTCATGTTAAACATTGTCTGTTTTAGGGAGGGACAGAAGAATCTCATGTTAAACATTGTCTTTTGTAGGGAGGGACAGAAGAATCTCATGTTAAACATTGTTGTAGGGAGGGACAGAAGAATCTCATGTTAAACATTGTCTGTTGTAGGGAGGGACAGAAGAATCTCATGTTAAACATTGTTGTAGGGAGGGACAGAAGAATCTCATGTTAAACTTTGTCTGTTGTAGGGAGGGACAGAAGAATCTCATGTTAAACATTGTTGTAGGGAGGGACAGAAGAATCTCATGTTAAACATTGTTGTAGGGAGGGACAGAAGAATCTCATGTTAAACATTGTCTGTTGTAGGGAGGGACAGAAGAATCTCATGTTAAACATTGTCTGTTTTAGGGAGGGACAGAAGAATCTCATGTTAAACATTGTCTTTTGTAGGGAGGGACAGAAGAATCTCATGTTAAACATTGTTGTAGGGGGGGACAGAAGAATCTCATGTTAAACATTGTTGTAGGGAGGGACAGAAGAATCTCATGTTAAACATTGTCTGTTTTAGGGAGGGACAGAAGAATCTCATGTTAAACATTGTCTTTTGTAGGGAGGGACAGAAGAATCTCATGTTAAACATTGTTGTAGGGGGGGACAGAAGAATCTCATGTTAAACATTGTTGTAGGGAGGGACAGAAGAATCTCATGTTAAACATTGTTGTAGGGAGGGACAGAAGAATCTCATGTTAAACATTGTTGTAGGGAGGGACAGAAGAATCTCATGTTAAACATTGTTGTAGGGAGGGACAGAAGAATCTCATGTTAAACATTGTTGTAGGGAGGGACAAAAGAATCCCATGTTAAACATTGCCTGTTGTAGGGAGGGACAGAAGAATCTCATGTTAAACATTGTCTGTTGTAGGGAGGGACAGAAGAATCTCATGTTAAACATTGTTGTAGGGAGGGACAGAAGAATCTCATGTTAAACATTGTTGTAGGGAGGGACAGAAGAATCTCATGTTAAACATTGTTTGTTGTAGGGAGGGACAGAAGAATCTCATGTTAAACATTGTTGTAGGGAGGGACAGAAGAATCTCATGTTAAACATTATCTGTTGTAGGGAGGGACAGAAGAATCTCATGTTAAACATTGTCTGTTTTAGGGAGGGACAGAAGAATCTCATGTTAAACATTGTCTGTTGTAGGGAGGGACAGAAGAATCTCATGTTAAACATTGTTGTAGGGAGGGACAGAAGAATCTCATGTTAAACATTGTTGTAGGGAGGGACAGAAGAATCTCATGTTAAACATTGTTGTAGGGGGGGACAGAAGAATCTCATGTTAAACATTGTTGTAGGGAGGGACAGAAGAATCTCATGTTAAACATTGTCTGTTGTAGGGAGGGACAGAAGAATCTCATGTTAAACATTGTTGTAGGGAGGGACAGAAGAATCTCATGTTAAACATTGCCTGTTGTATGGAGGGACAGAAGAATCTCATGTTAAACATTGTTGTAGGGAGGGACAGAAGAATCTCATGTTAAACATTGTTGTAGGGAGGGACAGAAGAATCTCATGTTAAACATTGTCTGTTGTATGGAGGGACAGAAGAATCTCATGTTAAACATTGTTGTAGGGAGGGACAGAAGAATCTCATGTTAAACATTGTTTTAGGGAGGGACAGAAGAAACTCATGTTAAACATTGTTGTAGGGAGGGACAGAAGAATCTCATGTTAAACATTGTCTGTTGTATGGAGGGACAGAAGAATCTCATGTTAAACATTGTTGTAGGGAGGGACAGAAGAATCTCATGTTAAACATTGTTGTAGGGAGGGACAGAAGAATCTCATGTTAAACATTGTCTGTTGTATGGAGGGACAGAAGAATCTCATGTTAAACATTGTTGTAGGGAGGGACAGAAGAATCTCATGTTAAACATTGTTGTAGGGAGGGACAGAAGAATCTCATGTTAAACATTGTTGTAGGGAGGGACAGAAGAATCTCATGTTAAACATTGTCTGTTGTAGGGAGGGACAGAAAAACCTCATGTTAAACATTGTTGTAGGGAGGGACAGAAGAATCTCATGTTAAACATTGTTGTAGGGAGGGACAGAAGAATCTCATGTTAAACATTGTTGTTGTAGGGAGGGACAGAAGAATCTCATGTTAAACATTGTTTTAGGGAGGGACAGAAGAATCTCATGTTAAACATTGTTGTAGGGAGGGACAGAAGAATCTCATGTTAAATATTGTTGTAGGGAGGGACAGAAGAATCTCATGTTAAATATTGTTGTAGGGAGGGACAGAAGAATCTCATGTTAAATATTGTTGTAGGGAGGGACAGAAGAATCTCATGTTAAACATTGTTGAAGGGAGGGACAGAAGAATCTCATGTTAAATATTGTCTGTTGTAGGGAGGGACAGAAGAATCTCATGTTAAACATTGTTGTAGGGAGGGACAGAAGAATCTCATGTTAAACATTGTCTGTTTTAGGGAGGGACAGAAGAATCTCATGTTAAACATTGTCTTTTGTAGGGAGGGACAGAAGAATCTCATGTTAAACATTGTTGTAGGGAGGGACAGAAGAATCTCATGTTAAACATTGTTGTAGGGAGGGACAGAAGAATCTCATGTTAAACATTGTCTGTTGTAGGGAGGGACAGAAGAATCTCATGTTAAACATTGTTGTAGGGAGGGACAGAAGAATCTCATGTTAAACATTGTCTGTTGTAGGGAGGGACAGAAGAATCTCATGTTAAACATTGCCTGTTGTAGGGAGGGACAGAAGAATCTCATGTTAAACATTGTCTGTTGTAGGGAGGGACAGAAGAATCTCATGTTAAACATTGTTGTAGGGAGGGACAGAAGAATCTCATGTTAAACATTGTTGTAGGGAGGGACAGAAGAATCTCATGTTAAACATTGTCTTTTGTAGGGAGGGACAGAAGAATCTCATGTTAAACATTGTCTGTTGTAGGGACAGAAGAATCTCATGTTAAACATTGTCTGTTTTAGGGAGGGACAGAAGAATCTCATGTTAAACATTGTCTTTTGTAGGGAGGGACAGAAGAATCTCATGTTAAATATTGTCTGTTGTAGGGAGGGACAGAAGAATCTCATGTTAAACATTGTTGTAGGGAGGGACAGAAGAATCTCATGTTAAACATTGTCTGTTGTAGGGAGGGACAGAAGAATCTCATGTTAAACATTGTTGTAGGGAGGGACAGAAGAATCTCATGTTAAACATTGTTGTTGTAGGGAGGGACAGAAGAATCTCATGTTAAATATTGTCTGTTGTAGGGAGGGACAGAAGAATCTCATGTTAAACATTGTTGTAGGGAGGGACAGAAGAATCTCATGTTAAACATTGTCTGTTTTAGGGAGGGACAGAAGAATCTCATGTTAAACATTGTCTTTTGTAGGGAGGGACAGAAGAATCTCATGTTAAACATTGTTGTAGGGAGGGACAGAAGAATCTCATGTTAAACATTGTTGTAGGGAGGGACAGAAGAATCTCATGTTAAACATTGTCTGTTGTAGGGATAGACAGAAGAATCTCATGTTAAACATTGTTGTAGGGAGGGACAGAAGAATCTCATGTTAAACATTGCCTGTTGTGGTGAGACAGAAGAATCTCATGTTAAACATTGTCTGTTGTAGGGATAGACAGAAGAATCTCATGTTAAACATTGTTGTAGGGAGGGACAGAAGAATCTCATGTTAAACATTGTCTGTTGTAGGGAGGGACAGAAGAATCTCATGTTAAACATTGTTGTAGGGAGGGACAGAAGAATCTCATGTTAAACATTGTCTGTTGAAGGGAGGGACAGAAGAATCTCATGTTAAACATTGTCTGTTGTAGGGAGGGACAGAAGAATCTCATGTTAAACATTGTTGTAGGGAGGGACAGAAGAATCTCATGTTAAACATTGTCTGTTGTAGGGAGGGACAGAAGAATCTCATGTTAAACATTGTTGTAGGGAGGGACAGAAGAATCTCATGTTAAACATTGTCTGTTGTAGGGAGGGACAGAAGAATCTCATGTTAAACATTGTTGTAGGGAGGGACAGAAGAATCTCATGTTAAACATTGTCTGTTGTAGGGAGGGACAGAAGAATCTCATGTTAAACTTTGTCTGTTTTAGGGAGGGACAGAAGAATCTCATGTTAAACATTGTCTGTTGTAGGGAGGGACAGAAGAATCTCATGTTAAACATTGTCTGTTGTAGGGAGGGACAGAAGAATCTCATGTTAAACATTGTTGTAGGGAGGGACAGAAGAATCTCATGTTAAACATTGTTGTAGGGAGGGACAGAAGAATCTCATGTTAAACATTGTTGTAGGGAGGGACAGAAGAATCTCATGTTAAACATTGTTGTAGGGAGGGACAGAAGAATCTCATGTTAAACATTGTCTGTTGTAGGGAGGGACAGAAGAATCTCGGCTCAAGTCCATCTCCAACAGAGAGGCCAGGGCTGCCCAGAGGGCCGCGGCTGCTGCCAAAAAGAAGGAGGAGGTGGAGAGGAGGAGGAGAGAGAAAGAAGAGCAGCACAAGCGGGAGAAAGAGGAGATGGAGAGACAGATAGCCCTGAAGAAAGAAATGGAAGAGGCAGAGAGAAGGAGAGAGGAAGAAAGAATGTCAGTAGTTTATTTATTCACTTAATTTATGACATGTTTAATGACAATGTCATACAAGATTAGCTAATTTTTACCCCTCCCCTCCTGTTATTAATGATAAAAAACAATTAAAAATAAATAAAATAAAAAATTAATGATGCGTCACATTTTATTTACCTCCACCACCCCCAAGTAGCATCTGTCGTGAGAATCAGATTTTTTTTCCTCCACTCCCCCACTAATTCTAGACATTTGACATCATTTATGCATAGTATAATGGAAATACCATTTAAGTAAAAGCATAATAGTTTTATTAATTCGTAAACAGTTAAAATAACAATATTTTATTCTTAAATTTGATGCTTTGGTAAATATTAGTAACCCATGGCGAACTATCTATAAAATGCTAAATCTATTGCATGTGTGATGTCAACTTTGAGGTAGAGCCTAATAAACTAATTATTAATTAATAAATTAAATAATTAATTCTATTGTGTCACTGTTAGACTCCGCAAGAAGCAACAACAGGAGGCAGAAGAAAGGGAGAAGAGGGCAGAGGAAGAGGCAGAGAGACGCAAGAAGCTGGAGGCAGAGAGAGAGAAAAAAGCTAAGGAAGAATACCAGAGAAAGCTGGAAGAGATGAGGAAGAAGCAATTGGAAGAGGAGATGAGGCGCCATGGTAACTATTTGTTGTCTTTCCTTTTTAACAGTCTTGGTAGGCCGTTATATAACTGTTTTTTGTCTTTCCTTGGTAGGCTTTTATATAACTATTGGTTGTCTTTCCTTGGTAGGCTTTTATATAACTATTGGTTGTCTTTCCTTGGTAGGCTTTTATATAACTATTGGTTATCTTTCCTTGGTAGGCTTTTATATAACTATTGGTTATCTTTCCTTGGTATGCTTGTATATAACTATTGGTTGTCTTTCCTTGGTAGGCTTTTATATAACTATTGGTTATCTTTCCTTGGTAGGCTTTTATATAACTATTGGTTATCTTTCCTTGGTATGCTTGTATATAACTATTGGTTATCTTTCCTTGGTATGCTTGTATATAACTATTGGTTATCTTTCCTTGGTAGGCTTGTATATAACTATTTGTTGTCTTTCCTTGGTAGGCTTGTATATAGCTATTGGTTGTCTTTCCTTGGTAGGCTTGTATATAACTATTGGTTGTCTTTCCTTTGTAGGCTTGTATATAACTATTGGTTGTCTTTCCTTTTTAAGTCTTGGTAGCCTTGTATATAATTAATTACTGTCTTTCCTTTTTAATAGTCTTTGTAAACTTGTATATTAGGCATTTCTGGCCATTCTCTGGTATAAATACATTTTAAAAATGTTTGAAGATTATGAAATGTATTTATTGTCATTGAAGGGTAATCATGCTAGCCTTAATAAAATTTAAAAAAATGTGTCTGCATTTTTCAGTTAAATTATTTATACACTCCATTAAAGTAAAATACTTATAGTTAATTACGTTTTTCTCTTGATTTGTAACTAATAACTATTATTGTTCCAAAATGAGATTTTTATTTTCTTTGTCTAGAATTACTGCTACAGAAACAGAAAGAAGAAGAAGAGCGAATAATAGCAGAACAATTAATGATGTCCAAAATGGCGGAAGAGGAGAGACTGGAATATGAGAGGAGAAAGAGGGAGATAGAGGAAGAAAGAAAGAGGAGAGAGTTAGAAGAAAAGTTAGTTTATTATTTTTAGAGTTTTTTTTATACTTTGTTGCTTTAGAATACTTTAGCTACCCAACAAATTCTCATAGAATGCACAAATAAAAATCAATGTCACAATGTGAAACAAAAATAAAGTTTTCAAAATATAAACAAATCATTATAGTTACAAATACAAGAAATTTTTTTTCTGAATTTATCCCAGGCTTAAGCATGAAGAGGATGCTAGAAAAGCTCTCGAAGAAGCTCAGCGCCTTGCAGCTGAAATGGCCAGGAAACAGGCGGAACTAGAAGCTAAATTAAGGTTCAACCGTTCCCTCCAGGAGGAATCAGTTAACCTGTCTCAAGCCCACCAAATCAACAGAGCTTTTGTGTTCTCTTATTTTGAACTGCTTCAATGGCTTGGGTTAGATATCCCAGATTTTGAATTTGCCAAACTGGCAAATTATTAATTTTAGGTCTGTTTATTTAACTACATACAAATTTGTTATAAAATTTACTGTTGGAAAAAATACTAACTCAATGCATATAAATTTTTTTAACCAAATTTTAATTACTAAATAAAGTAATATATAATTAGAAAGGAAATAATATTTCCATGACTAGGCAGAATTATTTTTATACTCTTTTACAGCATTAATTAAACTGCTTTTTATAATAATTTATTTTTATTATTAATATGTTAAAGACTAAAATTTTCTGATATATATTTATATAACATTGCTATATCATAGTATAAACCTTGTAAACAAATTTTTATTTTTATAAAAAAGACAATTTTAGAACTAGGGTTAGTTTAAATGTTATTTATGCATTTAAAACTGTTTCTTTTACTTTATTTGAATATTAATAGCTTATTTAATACCAAAAATTGTATATTTTTCAAATTTTTTTAAATAATATTAATTTTGTAGGTTATGTCTTTTTGTACCAATATTCAGCATTATGAAACAAATTGTGACTTTGAAACCTAACTCTTCAAGTCTGCAAACAGCATGTTTTATAAATAAAGTTTTCCTTCTAAATTAGAATTGCTAAAATTATTTTCTGATTAAATGTAATCTTGTATTTTTGTTAGTTGTTCCAGTATTATCATTTCTTAAGCAACAATTGTACATTATATATCAAGCATTAATTGACAAAAAAATAATCAATTTGGCCCGATCTAGCCACTTTTATATTTATGTACAAAAATATTTCTTCCTGCAATAAAATTAGACACAGCATTGTTGAACTGGATAGAACACGACTCATTAATATCTTGAACATTTTCAAACTACTTTATTTTATACAGTTATTGTATTTCTAGAGTTAAACTCATTTTAATTTTTTTTTTTTTTTTTTTTTTTTTTGTGATCTTCAAGTAAGAAAGTTCATTTTTTTTTTCTTGCAAAATTGAAAGGGTGCATGATTTTTTTTTCTTTATTACATATATATTTTAAACTGGTACTTGAAGCAAATCTGTGATGCCCATGACACTTATTTTTGACATTAAATTTAGAAAATATTTGATGGTTTTGTTATGTGGTGTGGTTCTGTCTTTCTATTAGTTGATGTTTTTGTGTTTGGTGTTTTCTTTACTTTCCTCTTCTGCCCCTTTGTTTAGGTGGACCATTGGGACACACCTTTAATCATTGTTCTCTATTCCACGATAACTTCAATCATCCTCAGTGCATCTCCCAGTGTCAAAACTAACCCACTCACTCAACTTGTCTTTCTATTTCCTCTTTTCCCTGATTGGCAGTTCCTTGTCGATAATTTTTGCCAGACCTTACAACCTTTGATATGTCCCTACAATTTTATTTAGGTTTTAACTATAGTCAGTCGGTCATCAAGATCACCAATCACCCTTCAGAACCTGTTCCATACTCTACTGAAATAGACCTTAAAAAATTAAATGCCCGATGTTTGATATATAACGGGTTAAATAAACAGTCAAACATAGATATCATACAATAGAAACTTATCTTTCCAGCAGATTTGGTTAAACTAAACAGGACAATCTAGTAGAGAAACACAACTCAAAAACAAACATTTCTTGTATTAAATACTTTCAATATTTATTGAAACTTTTTGTAGAAACAAGATAAAATAAATGTGGGATAGATTGGACAACATTCTACGGACACAAGATGGTATACTGGATGGGTCTAATGATGGGTCAGTGGCTGATGGTCACCAGTCACACCATCACAACACCCGCGTCCAGTTCGCAGACAAAGTTACAACATTAAAAGATACCATCGGATAGTTTGCATAGAGCTAAGTTTACCTAACAACAATCTTCCTAAACTCTGGGTGCCTCACACAATAAGATGACAAGATGGGTGATGTGAGACTAGATCTCTTCTACACCAATCTAACAAAAAATAACCATTCTCTGCTGCACTATGTTAAAATTTTAAACTGCTAAAACTACCTACTTTCTCTAAATACAATGTTGACATTTAAAAGTCAAAGACAGTAAAAAACATACAACTGTACAGTCAACACAGTATAAAAAACATAGAATATAATCTTTATTAATGAGTATATTTTCTTTCTTTAATTACATAGTTAAATAAAATGTACAATATTTGTAAAACAATAATGAAGGTTAAATATTTTTTTATATTTTTTTTTGGTGAAAGCTAAGATCCTTAGGATAAAACTAACCGTCTAACCGTCCATTATTTGGTGCTGGTACAGCTTCTCCGTCCTGCTAAAATATGTGACCACATGTTCAACGCAACCCCAGAGGGAGAAAATGAAATAGTTTTATTATATTTATCAACAAGTGAGAGTGCTAGATCAACATACAAAATAACTGTACATGAAAACATGAGCATCCACAGAGAAATAGTAGATACATATATATGAAGGAGATGGTGCCGACATTGGTTTTTAAAATAATGAAAGAGGTATGGATCTAATGATTTTAATCTAAACATAGTTAATAATGTGAAAGTTAAAGCTAAGAGAAGTTTGAGTTGCACCTGCGCAGGTGTGTCACACCTATGTGTTGAGCTGCACTTCTACAGGTGTTGGCTCACAACTTCAAAGATGTTGAGTTGCACCTTCACAGGTGTGTCACACCTTTGAAGTTTTCACCTCACACATTCTAATGTGCTGAGTTGCACCCAATTTGAAAGTTCTGGAATAAATCCGTGATAAAGAAGAAATGGAAGCCCTAACAGGCAAGGCAATGCATCTATCATGTCCAGAAGTTGAAGAATGAATGTCCAGCTTAAAGCTATTTATTTAAATAGAATAACATACGTCCGCATCAAGAACATACACTTCTTAGCTCCGTTTTAGTTTAGAGAGTCCAACACTTAATGATCAGTAAAAATTTGTAACATTACGCAGATAAGATAAACATGTATGTTGATTACGAATATTGACATTTTTCTACGCATAATCAACCCACATTCACAACTTTCAGAAAAATGGTCAATTAAATATATATATTTTAATTAAAATACATCACATAATATTGTTTGATCAGAGACAAGTATGGAGCTAGCGAGAGTTCAATACCACCTGGATGTGTGGCGCCATCCGGATATGTGGAACCAGCAAGACGTTTGGCACCATCCATATCCGTGGATACCCAGATACATGATGGATAATGATAAACTGTTTTCATACAAGAATGGATGTAGAGACATATTATACAAAGGCAATTAAAACAGTTCAGACACCTTCATCCTTTTTTATCTCATTGCCACTAGTAGACAAAAACAAGAATAACATAGTAATATCTTACAGTATAAACTAGATGAATAGAAGAAAAAAAAATGAACATGACACAGTGGAGGTTGATGAAAAAGTTTAGATCAAATATCCAAACACAATGACCAGTTTCTAATGTCAGATGCCATCAACTTTTTACATGTTTCAATACCCTAACACAATCCACTTATTTTTAGACAGAGCTCTTTAATATTTCTCATTCATCCTTTCTTATCAATGTATCAAATATCTCAAAATATGAAACCAATAGTAATGTAGTAGAAAAATAACTTTTCAAAATACAAAAACGCAGATAGTATAATAACTATCTTAATACAATGTATCATCTTCAAATGGATGTTATAATGGGTTTCAACCATTCATTATCATCAAAATGTCAACTATATTGTAGTCATAAGTTTAGTGTAGTAAAAAATAATTTTTTGGCATGATTTGTATGTGCTGCAAGTGGGTCTCAATCCTAACAGCAGACCACAATGGCACCCTCAACTCCACAGCTCAGGGGGTGGTGAAGTGGCCAGGATTTTTTAGCCCAGGTTGCCATCTCTTCAATTTGCTATGCTAACTGCCATTTAAGTGAACTGATAAATGCCCCAGTCAAAAAACTCTCACAGACTTTAAGCACCTCTTCATGTTTTTCTCATGTTCCTCACAAACACTACATAACTTGTTATTAAAGTCTTGAAATTTCTACACTGCTTCAGTCAAACTTGACATAACAGTGTCACTAAACAGTTCTAATATATTTCACAAAGTCTTGACATTTCTACACTGCTTCAGTCAAACTTGACGTAACAGTGTTGCTAAACAGTTCTAAAATGCTTTGCAGTAGCTTGACATGAGCTCAACAAATCTCAATCAGCTCTACAATAGTCAATAAATGTTTATCACTACTGTTTGACTTGGCATTTCTATAACGCTTAACAACAAATTTAATATTTCTATAACGCTCAACAAAAAACTTGACATTTCTATAATGCTCAACAATAAACATGATGTTTCTATTCTAAACAGGTTTTCTAAACTTTGATTTACATTTTTACACATCATATTAAATGCCTGATGATGAAAAAGTAAACTAGTGGTAAAAAAAAAGTCTCAATTACTTATTTTACACACTAGGCTAAAATGGATGATCTGTTATGTTAAACCATGTTGCAACTATCAGGAGGTAGTAGGCTACAAGTCTTCAATGATAACATCTGCGTTCAGGTTGTTATTGTTTGAGCAGTCAGTGTTCATGTTAGTCCTTGACAAAATGAAGCGCAAAAATCTGGCAGAGAAATCTCATCTTGCCAGTTGGGTTTCCACATTTGGCCAGTGAAACCAAATGAGAGTATTATACAATTTTATTTGGCTTGACAAGGGTGAAAAAATGTTTTGTTGTACTAAAATTACTATAAATATATAAAAGTATAAAATAATAGCATCAGGACTAAACTTTAAAATTTAGTCTGTTCTTCAGTTATTTTTTTGTTTCCTAAGCCATAAAAATATTTTTTAAACCACTTGGGTAAAAAGGTAAGAGAACGCTTATCAAATGTTTATTTTCAAATTTGTAAGCAATGTCAAGGTTATGTAAATCTAGAAATAAATCTGGTCCCATTTGCTATCTATTGAGCAGGAAAAAAAAATGTTATACATTTGTTTCATCTAAAAATTACTCCATCTTTTTACACTGACAGGACAAAACCAACTAAACATGAAATAAAAAACTTCTTTTTAAAAGATGGGTCCAGTTTTTTAAAGTGTGACAGAAAATGCTATAAAAATACTACCCAACACAGCCAAAACAACTTTGAAAGAACTGACTAGTCTTATATTAGCAACGAAAGGTTTTAAAATATCAACAACATAAAAGATGCTGAAACAAATATAAGACTTGGTCAATAGATTTTGTTAGTTCTGCTCTGACAGAATTTAAAAACCATCCTCTAAAAATAATTTAATAGATAAATAAAATTACCAGTAAAAATCTTACATTATTGCAATATAACAAATAGTATATAAATTTAATTAACTTCATGGATAAAAATTAAAGGAACAATCTTTTCTATATCAACTAGCGTTTACAGCCAACAAATTCAGTTCTGCTCTTTGTGAAGTGTTTTGAAACAAACTATGTGTTTTTAAAACAATGTTTTCTTTATGATGTCAATCAGAATAGGTAAGTCTATTCAGCCTGAAGTAAATGAATTCACATAAAAAGGCTACTTTAACAGAATATAAAACTGAACAGGAAATCATATAGAAAAATAAAAAGCGTAACAGGAAATCTTTAAGAAGTAAATCATTAAAATTATTTATAATTTCAAGAGTCCTATGTTAACTGTTTACAGTCCTCTCTTAACCCTAAATATTTCAACAAGCTTACACTATCAACAAACACCCAGCCCTACTCTGCCGTCTAGCCTAATCTTATTTACAGTATTGACAGACGTAACACAATGGTACTTTCACTTCTTCTTGGACATGCGTTTCTGTTCCTTCTCTTTCAGCTTTCTCTCCTTCTCTTGCTGTTTCTTCTCTCGTTCCACATTGGCCTTTAATTCTTTGATTTTCTTTTTCAAAAGATCTCGATCTTTGGTGACTGTCACCCCCATTGACTGGAAAACAAAGTCAATTATCTAAATTTGAATTGAGTAAAATAAAATTATTTTTAAAATTTTGTTTTTAAGACCAAAATAATTGGAGAGTCAAATAGTGATTTGTATAAGAGCCTTGCTGAGAAAAAAAAATGTATTCTTTTCAACACTAACTTGTAATTAAATGATAAGAATCAGAAAAGAGGAAAATAAAAATAGCACTTGTTTTGTGTTATAGAAATCTTACTTTCATTTTTGAGCTGTCCAGAAGCAACAGCTGGCTTCCTGTGATGCTTTTATCTCTGAAAGCTGAAGAGTACCTGTCCAGATCAAGGGAAGTCAGCCAGTTTGATACATGTTCTGTGTTCCAGTCTGTCACTGATGAGCTCTGGCTCTGATTACTTTTGCTAGCTGCTGTATTCTCCTGTAACAGATAGTATTTGCATGATTGCATTCAACTATGCAGCAGATAGTTCATTAAAAAGAAAACCTCCAGCTTGCTTTAACTTGTAAAACTAAAAACAAAGATTATTTCCCTTTGTACAATAAATGAAGCCAAAGGGAGAAAACAAATAACTTGTTTTTATTACATCTACCGATATGTTTTACCGAGTAATGCAAAAATCAATGCATCAACTCATTATCAAATCCTAGACATAGCCAAAATTCTTACTTAAAACCAATAAAAACACAAAATAGATCAAATACCCAATAACTGCTAAAACTAACATTAATGCAATCACCAAACATCTAACCTTAATATAACACTAGCACCAAACCCTAACACCAACATCAAGATCAAAAGACAACAGTAGTCTTACCTCCACTGTGGCTGGACCTGAGATGTTGAGGGTAAATCTCCCTGACCTCTCCACATCCGGTTCACTCACCATTGTGGATGTGGTAATGTCACTGTTGATGCTTGATACTATTTCAAATTTTAATAAAAGTAACATTTATTTATCATAAGTTCTAAATATTATTTAAATTATGGAAAGCTTGCAAATTAAAGAGACTAGTTTAATGTATCAATATTTAAACATAAAACAACAGTCAGAAATTTCAGATTTTTTTTCCGAAAGGGAAATCACTCAGATAAACAAGGGAAATCACTACAACAATTATTTCAGACAACTCGAGAAGAGGAAAATAAAGCAGTAAACAGTAAACATATTTAAAATACACAATTCTAGGCTAACTTAACTAAAGATATATAACTATGACCTTTACTTCATCTAGTATTTTAAAGTATTCATAGCAACGATACAACTACTATGGCTTCTAATGTTTGGTTAATATATATATATATATACATATATAAAATTATTAAAATGGTAGATACATAAATTCTGTAAAGTACAGATAGTAATAACATGCAATATAGAAACACACAGCATACACAGATCAAGTTTAAAAAAGAACATAGGGATTAGCCATTGAATATAAGTGAGTATTAAGTTGAAATATTAATTAGTCAGATTAATTGTAGTTAGGTGCAGAAAAAATTAAACCAACATTTAACTTTAACTAAACCGAACCACTATTTTAGTAGACGAAATTCTATACTAAAATAAATTAATAAGAGGCCAATTTTTAAAGAAAAAAAGTGTAAAATGTAAGAAAAAATTGAACAATTAACATGAATTGAAATTGAACCAGAGAAAAGCCAAGAAAAAAAAGATGCACAAAAAGTGGTGCAATAAAATTTGTTGTTCTCAATGCATGTCATGCTCGTTAGCAAGTTCTTCAATACCTTTCTAACTTTTAATCGAGATATTAAAATGTCTAAATCTTTATAGAATAAATTGTTACTATTACTAGAAGAAAAAGGTATGGTCTTGAGACAGAATTTTTTTTATATTTTGTTTGTTTTTTAAAAGTTGGTGTATTTGATTGGAATATCAGAATTTAATGTCATTTTTTAGTATTGTGAGTTTTAATAGTTGTTTTTTTTTTAAATGTATGTGTATTTCCCTAGAAAAACAGAATTCAATGTAGTTTTTGAGTACAGTTTTTTTTTTTTGACTAGAATAACAGAATTTACTTCAGTTTTTGACTGGAAAATTTCAGAGATGGACGAAGGTATTGACTGGCTGGCTAAAACTCACCATCGTAGTCCCAGTACCCAGTGTCAATGCGTTTTTTTGAGACCAGGGTAATGCCGACAGAGTCCAGCCCAGGGTCGGACTGGGAGTGCTGCGACACCAGAGAGCGATTGGCCAGTAAAATGACACCGCCGCCTGTGTCATTGTCCCGGCTTTTTGACGACTTCCAATTGAATTTAGGAAAACTGAAGCCTGCCATGCATGCAAGTTAATGATGTAAAAACTCAAGATAAAACAAAACAAAAAACCAAGAAAATGGGCATCTTTTTCCTGAGTGTGTCAAATATAACAATTAAATTTGTAAATAACATACTTTTTTTAATATATTTTTTTTTTAATTTAGAAATTTTTTTTTTTAAAAATAGTCCATTTTTATTTTGACTACACTGAGGAAAAAGAAGTCACGGTTCTGAATAGTGACCGATTGTTATTAAAAATGATCATGCAGTAAGATGATAATGATCGGTGTATGTGTGGGTATCAAGCAGGTAGATATAATGATATATTGGCAAGCATGCTGGGTTTGGTACTCAAACTTCATTGTGTACGCAGGTAGATGATGAGACAGTTCTTTAATTAATTCTTCTGTTGTATATTTAGGCTGGTATGAGCTTAAGTAGCACTTGACTAAATGGAACAATACTGTTAAGTTTAATTTTTTTCTCAGAATTATTTTGATTATATACTAGTTTAACAGTTTTAAATTGAAAAAAATGTTTTAATTATAATGTTTAACTTCTAAATGGCAAGCTAATAAGAATTCTACATTTTCCATTTAATGTTTGTTAATTAGTGTGTTTCTTTAATGTTTATTTTAATTAGGCCTAGCATAAATATTATCTTTTTATTTTAGTTAAGCCTAGCATAAATATTACTTTTTTATTTTAACAACTTAATAAGTAATTTACCAGTAATCAAAGGAGAGGGATTGTGCATATCAAATAAAAACTTCATTATCTGGTAAAATTGTGTATAGTTGTATTAAAAATAATAAAATAGACTTTCTTCATGCAAGTTTGCATACTTTTTTTTTTCATTTAAATCAGACATTTTAATAAGTTATAGCTATATACTATTGAGGGAAAAAAAGTTTGAAAAAATATAAAAAGCACTATTTGAAGTGATATTTTATAATTTTTTCAGCCTCTAAAATGTGTATTAAATGACTGAAGCATAATTATTGCAAGGTCAGTATTTATTAATGAGTGGCCTCCCATGAGATTAGAATTCCTGGTGACTGGCGAAGACGTGATGGTTCTGATAAGGTTTCATGTGCTGACTAGTTAATGAAGTGATACAATGCAAATACATATGACAAGATGCATCTAAGCTCACTAGGAATTAACCCATTTTTTTACATCCAAAAACTGATTTAATTTTACTTTAATTCCCCTAATATTAATTAAAATATATAGTAAATGTCCCATTGCTAATCTATATTCTCTTAAGATAAATAAGTGAAATATTAATTTAAAGAAAACCATATCCAAATTATTGGAGAAGATTTTTTTTAAAGAATTTTTGTTAAAAAATATAAAATGAATGCAACATGCAAATCTAATGAGTTAATCGCTAATGAGCAGAGAGATTAAAATAAATGAAACGTTGGGTTAAATGAAGGCGAGACAGAGAATGGCAAATAAGAAACATTACAAACTTCAATTCAATAACAAAACGGTCAAACAAAACTTTATTCAGATCAAGGGAAACTGAATGTTATAAAATATTTGACTTTTTTAGGACCAGAAGTTTATTCTTTCAAAAAAAATTGTTACTATCCAAAGAGACTTTAAAATGTAAATGTTTTAAAAAATACACAATAACAAGTTGCGCTCTAATGAATTTTTCATCACTACTAGCTACACAAAGCAATGATACCTATTGGTTTTTTTTTTAAGTTAGATTTTTAAGATCCTAAAAAAGTTAAAATATTTTCTAACAACAAGCTTCAGTAATATTTTTAAAAACAAATCCACGACTTAATATATAAGTGCATCAACAAACACTACAAACAAATCATGACTTAAAAATGTGTGCATCACAAAAACCACAACAACAATGAAGGTATTATGTGGTGAACAAAATAATTCCACCTGTTCAGACTTTTGTCCCTACCTTTGGCAGAAGCTGTGGGCTTAGCAGAGAGTAGCGCCACGCCGCCGCCATCGCTGTCCTCAGCCACTGAGTCTGGCAGTTCAGATACTCTATCATTTGGTCGGCTGGGGTCATAGGAGGTTTGTGAAACTGACGAGGAGGTATCCGACTGTGTGTCATCTCTATGGGAACAAAAATATTTAATTTGATACATTTTTAACGAGCTTAACAAATCTTTTTAATCAAGTCATCTCTAAAGTTGCAAAAGAATTTAATTTGATACATTTTTAATGAGCTAAACAAATTGTTTCAATCAAATGTCATTTCTATAGAAGGAAAAATAATACCTTTATTACTTTTTCAACTATGGAACTAAACAATACTTTTTGAAAGGATTGTCATATCCTTTTCAAAATGAGAACAGCTACTTAACATCAATGGTATATAAATTTATTTTAATGTTAACACCTAATTTGTATCAAGGAAAAAAAAAATTCAAATGAAAACAACTACTACAAAAAAAAAACTGTAACCAATGAAACAATGAAGAGTTTATTTTAAAAATGATCCCTCTTAGATTTTAAAAACTATGATCAAAATTGGATAATTATTTTAGCCACAAAGCTAAGCATTGGCGTGCAACATAAAAGAAGTACAAACTGTCACATTTAAGAAAAAAAAAAACAATGCTAAGATTAAGACATCGATGCAATGTTAAAAAGATTCACGTGGAATCTTGTCTGGCAAGATTTTGGTTAGGAAAAGGTTCTATGACTCTCTGGGGTATCACATGTTAAGGTCTGTTTTATAATCGTCACACCTGATTCCTGGTTAGGGTTAGGTTTAATGACTCAAATAGATCACATACGATGATGTTTTATGACTTGTGTATTGTGTTTTATGACTTATGTATCGTGTTTTATGACTTGTGTATTGTGTTTTATGACTTGTGTATCATGTTTTATGACTTGTGTATCATGTTTAATGACTTGTGTATCATGTTTTATGACTTGTGTATCTTGTTTTATGACTGTGTATCGTGTTTTATGACTTGTGTATCATGTTTTATGACTTGTGTATCATGTTTAATGACTTGTATATCATGTTTTATGACTTGTGTATTGTGTTTTATGACTTGTGTATCATATTTTATGATTTGTGTATCATTTTTTATGAATTGTGTATCACATTAAATAATGTGACTTATAAATCACATAGGATCATACTTTATGATCAACCAAAATTATTAAGATGATGCTTTATAACTTTCAAAAAATCATAGAGGGTGGTGTTTTTAGATTAATCAAATGTATCACATAAAATGATGCTTTATGAGAAAAAAGTGATAAATGCTCTGAAAAACTTCATCAAAATTTAGAATTTCTAATAGACTGCAAGCATCATCGGCTAACATCAGACAGTGTAACATCTTTGTAAACACTGAGCGTGAGCTTTCAGCATGAGGTGTTAAAACATCTATCCCATTCAGATGTGTAAGGCAACAACATAGAACATTGACATGCTTAATACAAACATCAAGTGTTGATCAAATTGTATGTGACATATATAGGCAAAGAGCTGTGTTATCTTCTCATTAATTCTGGGTTCTACATTACAATTTAGTATTAAAATTTTAGCTGGTTAAAAACTAGAAATATCTAAGGAAATGAAACAAAAGAAAAGGGTTATATAAAAAAAATCTATTCTACGAAACAATAGAATGGAATAAAATAATGTTTTAAGTTTGAAAAAATGGAAAACTGTAAAGAAGCCAACAACAAAATGTGAACCATTAGAAAGCAAACAAATTTGATTGGCATGGCAGACAACACTGAAACCAGAACTGTTACCTAGACAGCTCAGGGGTGCTTAGGTGGTCGGGTTTTTTAGGCTTGGGGGCCACGGGCGGCCTTAATGCTGGACCCGTTTTCAGGGGGACAGGTGGGCTAGGGGGTGGGGGGAGGGGTTTGTCTGGCTGCTGGAGCTGTTTTCTCTTTTTGAGTTCACTCTTCCGCACAGTGCTGTCACTAAAACATGAGAGAACAGGCGAGAAATTTTAGGCATCAATGTGGTAGATAATAAGACAAGATCAAAACCAAACAGCAGTGACGAAAAATTTCAAATTAATATAATACAAAAAGTGTAAGTTTTTTTTTTTAATGTCAACATTAGAATAGAAACTTTCAAGCAAATGGAATGTTATATCAGTAGACTAAATAGTTTGAAGCCAAATAGTTATTTTTGTTATAAAAGTACACATTTTAATACATTTATATCATTAAAGGAAAACATATCTGGAAAATAAAATGGGATTTTAAATTAAACACAAGACTAATGACAGCTGTTGTTGATACTAGAGTAAAATCTACCAGGTAACATGATTACACAACAGAATATATACTGATGGCTAAATGCATTCATCAGCCAACTAATTGCATCTAGAGCTGACTGGTGACTCTTAGCCTGCACAGAATGTTTGATGTAAAGACAAGACAGCTCAAACTTTAAATTGATTTGTACATTTTTAAAGTTATAATCTTTTATTTCCACCCATTGAAAAGGAGTAATTAACTTATGCTCTCCCCTTATGCTACAACATTAAAGCTAACTATTTAAAAAATGTGTTTGCAGTTGTTTTTCTTTAATTTACAAAGAATAAATAATAACTTAATTGGCTTTTTAAGTAAGTCACAGTAAACTTACATAAAGAAAGAAAATTGTCGAAGAAAAAACTATGTATTATAAATGTTTGATTGTTAGCTTATTGCATTTATAACTGAATGATGTTTTTTTTACATAAAAAACCAAAGAAAGTTTACAGTAAAAAGTGCCTTCTTTGTGCAAAGTTATTTTAATAGGATTGGTAAGGTGAATGGTCATTCTATAAATGGTGCTAGGTTGATTTGCTGGGTTCATGTAACTAACTAAAGGAGTATTGAAGTTTAGGGGTTTCATGCAGATATTGTCTAGCACACAACAATTTATGTTTCATTTGTTTTCAAAATTATGAGCTACAACTACTGATAGATTAGACACTTTTAATCCTGCTTTTCTTCGCCATGCAGTAGGGCACTTTTTTTCTAAAGGACAAAGACTAAGAATATCAGCAGATTATGGTGAACGACTTTAAAAAAAAACAACACATAAATCTAAAATTGTATGTGTTAACCTGGGAATAAAAGACAACACGTATATTAAATAAATTAACAATAACAAAAAATATGATGCTTTAAAAAATATTACAGAAAATGTTAGCAGCAAAATAAAATAAAAAATCTAAACACATTTTATAGTATTTAGGAATGAAAAATAGAATGTGTTACAATAAACAATGTCAGCTACACAGCTTTTTCTGTACAACATTATGAAAGGAAAAATCTGAATTATATTTATTTTTAAAATACAGAACTTCATAACCATCCAGCTAAAACTAAGATATAGTTTACACTTTTTTAAAAATCTGGCCACTGAGTGTTATTACTCACATGTTTACAAAGGCAGGCAATCTAGATAACAGAGAATGTGTTTGCATTTAATTTATTACAACTGTCCTGCTCTTTATATTGGTTAAATATTTATTTATCTAAATAAAAGATATTCACTGCTAAACACTACAGATGGGACATTTTTTTCAACACTGTAAGCTGAACATAATGAAACAAAAAACAATCAAAATGAACATTTTGAGCTGATAAAAAACAATCCTTTTTTTACTAACTGATATGATAGTCTAACACAGAATTTATAAATTGGTAACTCTTTTTAATAACCCTACAGTTTTAAAATAAGTTTAAATATCTATATTTAATATACTTTTTGGGGAATTTCTGGAATTTAAAGTATTAAAATTGAAATATAATATTTATGTGTAGTTCCTAAACATTTTCTTGAAGAAAATACATTTTGACCCTAAAAGGTGCTTCCCCCTTGTTGAGTTTAAAATTATTAAATTAAAATTCATGCAATCAATAAAATGCAAAATTTGAAATGGATTTCAAGTATATTCTAATTTATTATTTATTTAAAGTATATTTAATTTGAATTCCTTGTTTACAAGTCTATACGATTATAACAAAATAATTTTATTGATGCTGTATAAAACTGAGTTAAAAAAAAAAACTAACAAAAACATCTAAAAAACTATGTAATTGAAATTTTGAATTCAAGAACTGGAACAAATATCTGGGAGGAAAATAAAAGAGTAGAGCATCGCATTCTGTTCTAGACTAAATAAGCTAGTCACACTCAGTGAATACTTACGTCAAATCACTAATAATTTGATTTCAGACAATGCAAAAAGTTTTTATTGAGATGGACCAGAAATAATTTTCTTAAAACCAACTAAGTGTATTGTCAGTTAGTTTATATTTTAAATACAATAAACAGAGACCAAAACTTAACACATCATAAAACAATGTTGTGCGAGTCAGAACAGGAAAAAACGGCACAGACTCGACAAGTGAGTGTCAAGCGTACAGAGTAATATGGGTCAAAATGTCAACAGTTGATGAGATGTATGGGCTCAAAAGGTCAACCACTGACCAGGTCAGCAGTAGAGCGGAGGTTTATAAAGGTAAAAGAACGTACCTGTCGTGTTTGTTCCACATGTCCAGGCCACTCTCAGCATGGTCAGTCTGGCTGGAGTGGATGCTGCCATTCTCTGTGATCTCACTCTTCACACTCTCAGAGTCCTGGTCGTCCTCAGCATCATACGACTAGAGGAACATCAACACATTACAATCATATGACTAGAGGAACATCAACACATTACAATCATATGACTAGAGGAACATCAACACATTACAATCATACGACTAGAGGAACATCAACACATTACAATCATACTACTAGAGGAACATCAACACATTACAATCATATGACTAGAGGAACATCAACACATTACAATCATACGACTAGAGGAACATCAACACATTACAATCATATGACTAGAGGAACATCAACACATTACAATCATATGACTAGAGGAACATCAACACATTACAATCATATGACTAGAGGAACATCAACACATTACAATCATATGACTAGAGGAACATCAACACATTACAATCATACGACTAGAGGAACATCAACACATTACAATCATATGACTAGAGGAACATCAACACATTACAAAAACAGGAACATCAACACATTACAAAAACAGGAACATCAACACATTACAATCATACGACTGGAGGAACATCAACATATTACAATCATACGACTAGAGGAACATCAACACATTACAAAAACAGGAACATCAACACATTACAAAAACAGGAACATCAACACATTACAATCATACGACTGGAGGAACATCAACATATTACAATCATACGACTAGAGGAACATCAACACATTACAAAAACAGGAACATCAACACATTACAAAAACAGGAACATCAACACATTACAATCATACGACTGGAGGAACATCAACACATTACAATCATATGACTAGAGGAACATCAACACATTACAATCATACGACTGATGGAACATCAACACATTACAATCATACGACTGATGGAACATCAACACATTACAAAAACTTGCTTACATTAAGGACAACTATTCAGCCACAACTCTTGTACAAATCTTTCTTATCAGCATAATGTATATAATCTAAGTTCTCTTTTGAGCCTGACAGTCCGTGGGGCAAGTGAAGTAGAGTTCACCTGTTTCTCTGGCCTCGGCATATGTAGAGATCGTGTGGTCAGCACTATGCCCAGCCACCTTTACTTTATCTAACGTGAGTTAGGTACCATTCAGAGCTTGGTGGACTAACGAATTCTCTATTGACTCGAATCCGAATTCAAACGTGATATTTCTGGGTAAGCAGTCAATTGCTCTACTGCTAGGCCAAGCCATCCCATATATAACGCAACTTCAGGTATTACTTCTTTAAAGGAAAACGTTTTTCTAACATACTTTTTAACCATTAATGTCCCGTAACGCCCGCTGCCGCCCGACACCGTTAATGTCCCGTAACGCCCGCTGCCGCCCGCTTACAATACGCATAGAAAAATTAAATTTGTTTCATTAAAATTTGGCCTACAAATCCTAATTTTTAACTAAACAGGAAGTCGGTTAGTTTCAGCATCCTTTTCCGGTCTTCTAATTTCAATGGCGCTTTTGAAAGATAAAAAATAATAGTTTCTTTCCATCTCGAAATTTTAGACTCATCTGTCCAATTTTTAGTTGATTTAATATTAAAAATAAAATAAAATAATGCCTCTAAACGTATCTAGGCATGTATTTTATGAATTATATATCTTAAAGATAATCAAATTGATATTTAACTGTTAAATTCGATGCATAGTTGTTTAGACAAAAATAAATAAAGTTGACTACCGAAAATGACCTGTTTTGAATTTTCTCCGACATTTTTTATTTTTATTCTGTACTTGTACCGAATATAATATATTCTATTTAATACTGTTGGAAAGCCAGGTTTATTCCCAACATTAAGCAGTAGTTTTTATCTTAATTTTCAATTTCATTTAGACAAAAACAAATATTTTGTGAAACTATTCACTTGATCATACAGAGTTATGCTCCTTACATTGGGCCGTCATGGGTGGAGTTTTGGTAGAATGAATGAGACATTAATGGTTAAAATGTTCAAACGTTATGTTCTTTTTTTATTCATTACTTAAGCAGTAATAAAACAGATTTTGCTCACAAAAAAACTATTATTTGAAAGGAAACTTGTTTTTTAGACAGACCAGTTTGAAATTACCTTTCCTTTTTTTGAGGGTGGTCTCCTGCCAGCAAGACTACCTGCTGTACCTAGACTTGCCTTGTCTCTGTTGGCTGAAGAGTCCAACAAAGGGGAGGAATTCAATTTATCAAACTCAGATCTGAAAGGAGCAAATGTAAAAAAAAAAGGCTTTTTTTTTTTATCTAACACAGGGTGTAAAATTTGTATCATTAAATAAATAATAGGACAGAACTTTCATAAACTGTAACATTTAAATAGTTTACAGAGTGCTCTGTTAATTAACCAATTATCTTCTGATCAGAGAAAGGACTAATTCTGTATTTAAAGTAGTTAAATCTGTTGAGGAAAAATGTATGTTCTCTTTGACTGAATAATAAATATTGTTTAAAAAAATTATCCTCTGATCAAAGAAAGGAATTTTATTATTTATATGTGCTAACACTGAACTTTAATATCTGTCAAAAGAAATAAAATGGAAAGTTTTAATTAATTTAAACGTAAGTGCCAAATCCTGTATTTAAAGTAGACAAATCTGTTGATGAAAAATCTATGTTCTCTTTAACAGAATAATAAAAATTTTGCTTAAAAAAATGGCTTGTCACTCACTGAAAATATTCTTCTGTTACTCCGTATGGAGAATGGTGAAAGTTGATTTTGTCTGCAGGGGAGGATGAGAGGGAAGGTATTTTGTCAAAAGATGAATCAGCCTCATCTGAAACAATTTTTTTTAAATAAACATGATGAGATGGTTTATTTTATCAGGAGAATAAATGACTTCAGCCTCAGGGTAAATCTGCTTCATCAGCACAAAAAATGTTTTGAAATGTTAATCATAAGAGTTTATTGAAAGATAAAACTGCTTCTTAAGAACTTTTTTTTTAACACTGACATTTTGTAATGAAATTTAAGATGATAGGTATGTCGTCACAAGACAGATCTAATTTGTCTACAAAAATGATCTATCCAGGTTTATAGTTTATTTCTAAACAGTTAATTTACTGTTGGCACAAGATCAATCTAATTAATTTATCTAAAAATTGTATAAGACATAATTAATTTACTGGTCAAATGCACTTTTATCCTACAAATATAAACAAAAGTTTTAATGATGTTATATAAACAAACTGGTGCTAAATTTCCCAATGAAAAGTTCTTTTGAGTTCTAATACATGACTAGGTACAAGTTGGCTTAAATGTAATAACGGTCAGGTACAAGTTGGCTTAAATGTAATAACGGTCAGGTACAAGTTGGCTTAAATGTAATTAAGGTCAAGTTGATGTAGACCTACCTGGTGTAGCGGCAGGATCTGAAGTTTCTGAAGATGTGGAGATCTCCAATACATCTTCAGTGGATTGGTTCAGAGGGGAGAGGGGCTCTTCACCTAGAGGGAGGCATAAAACAAAGCTATTGGTTGGTTGTAAATATCATTCTGTGAGTGTAAATGTTTGGGACAGCATGGTTCAGAGGGGAGAGGGGCTCTTCACCTAGAGGGAGGCATAAAACAAAGCTATTGGTTGGTTGTAAATATCATTCTGTGAGTGTAAATGTTTGGGACAGCATGGTTCAGAGGGGAGAGGGGCTCTTCACCTAGAGGGAGGCATAAAACAAAGCTATTGGTTGGTTGTAAATATCATTCTGTGAATGTATGGGACAGCATGGTTCAGAGGGGAGAGGGGCTCTTCACCTAGAGGGGGGCATAAAACAAAGCTATTGGTTGGTTGTAAATATCATTCTGTGAGTGTAAATGTTTGGGACAGCATGGTTCAGAGGGGAGAGGGGCTCTTCACCTAGAGGGGGGCATAAAACAAAGCTATTGGTTGGTTGTAAATATCATTCTGTGAGTGTAAATGTTTGGGACAGCATGGTTCAGAGGGGAGAGGGGCTCTTCACCTAGAGGGGGGCATAAAACAAAGCTATTGGTTGGTTGTAAATATCATTCTGTGAGTGTAAATGTTTGGGACAGCATGGTTCAGCAGTTACAGCTCATGGTTGCCAACCTAACAGTATAGAGTTTTATTTTGGGTTGGTGTATACGGTGTCCAAAAGTTGTCCCAGTTCTCATGAATACCTGATTCAAGTCTAGGAAAAGTAAAGATAGCTGGGCATATAATAAACCACACTATCTCACCATGCACTGAGGGTTTCAGAAATAAGCTATTAGGTTCAAAATAGTTTATTTATTAAATGGAAATGTTCCCATCATTCAATCCACACTTCAAGCTTCTGAACATATTTTACAGAACATTAAAAAAATCTGATGGATTTGTGAGTTTCTGCCCTAACATATAACAGCAATCATCAAATGTTTAAAAGAGAGAACTGTTTTTAAAAAAGTTCAATAAAAACTGTCTAACCTTTATAAAGCAATAAAATATGAGCCTAAGCTTACCTAAGCCATTGAGGGTAGCCATGAAGCTTTAGAACTTACCTAAGCCATTGAGGGTAGCCATGAAGCTTTAGAACTTACCTAAGCCATTGAGGGTAGCCATGGAGCTTGAAAACTTACCTAAGCCATTGAGGGTAGCCATGAAGCTTGAAAACTTACCTAAGCCATTGAGGGTAGCCATGAAGCTTTAGAACTTACCTAAGCCATTGAGGGTAGCCATGAAGCTTGAAAACTTACCTAAGCCATTGAGGGTAGCCATGAAGCTTTAGAACTTACCTAAGCCATTGAGGGTAGCCATGAAGCTTTAGAACTTACCTAAGCCATTGAGGGTAGCCATGAAGCTTTAGAACTTACCTAAGCCATTGAGGGTAGCCATGAAGCTTTAGAACTTACCTAAGCCATTGAGGGTAGCCATGAAGCTTTAGAACTTACCTAAGCCATTGAGGGTAGCCATGACAAGAGGAACAGGCTTGCTGTAGGAGGCTGGCATGTCCACCTCGTCCAGACTAGGCAGCGCCTGGGGGAGACCTGCCACCTTCTGGGCTTCTGTCAAATCCTTCTCTAACGTGAAAATCTGAAATCAAGCTATGCGTTAAATCAATATTCCAAAATCAACCAAATAACTCACAACTAAATCAGAAATGACATACATTTATATTTAAAATGTAATTAATTAGATCCAAAACATTGTTTTGAATAAACAATTTATAACTTTCTGGTAATAACTATGTCAATATAACTTTATAACTTCATTTTGCCTTGGGAGACAATGGATGCATTCTTTTCTTAACTTTTGCCGCATTGTATAAAGGAATACTAATTATAACACAAGGTTAAGCAGCCAAAAAGACAACTTGAAGGCGAAGGTTTTTAAGACTTACCCTGTCTTTTAAAGATTTAACCAGAGAGTTATACTGCTGATCCTTCTCAGCCTGTTGCTCAAACAGAGATTCCCTTTCTTGGATGAAATCTTTCTCCCTGGACAAAATACAAACAACATTCTTAGACAAGGGTAACTGGTTATTAGTCACAAAGTAAATATAAACCATACTTAGAGCACACTAGTACAAGACTAGGGTAGGAAAAACATAAAATGATTGACAGAAAATAAGTAAACTTTTAACTGCCAATCACAGAAAAGATTAAAACATGATATTCTGCTATTTTTATAACAGCCAATCAGAAAGCAGATTACAAAATAATTCTCTGCTATTTTTAGAGTAGCCAATCAGAACAGCAGAACAAACCAATCACTAACCAGAAGACAAAAGAAACCAGATGCCTTACCTCTGCTGATAATCCTTGATGAGCTTCTTGGCCTTGTGGTATTTCTTTTCTAAAGCACCAAGCTCCTTCACTTTCCTCTCCAGCTCAATGTGCTGACTTTGTGAGGCAACCATCATATCCTGGGAACAATGGAATAAATGTGTTCAGGGCACAGTAGGTGGAATAATTATAACAATACTACAATTTTTCTCTATAGCTCAATGTGCTGGCTTTGTGAGGCCACGACTGTATCCACAATGTATGGCACTCTTTAAAACAAATATAGGCACCATAGTGCTCACAGGGGTACTCTGCACTGTAGGTGGAATAGTCATAACAATACTATGTATGAACAGGTGTCAAAATACTAAGAAAAATATGGCTAAGATATAAAGTATAAATTATATACTGTACAATAATTTATTGACTCCTTTGGGATGTCTATGTTTACTATGATTATCCAATATGGCTTCACTGTGATTTTATGCTCCATCAGGATTGATCCATTTCGCTGATAGATGTTTCACTTCACATCCAACATAGTATCTGCTTCCCACCAAGGTTTTCATGCTCACCCTCAATTTCACCAAACTGCTCCACCGTGCTACCAACATTCCACCATGCTACCAACACTCCAAACTACCAACACTCCACCATGCTATCAATGCTCCACCCAGGATTCTATAGTCCACCTCAACTCCACCAAGACCACAGACCCCCCTCACCTTATACTGTGAGAGCTCCTTCTTCAACATGTCAAAATGTTTGTCCCTCTCCTGGAACTTCCTGGTCAACTCCTCCACTTTCTTCTCCAGCCCTTTCTTCTGGACCTCAGCACCTTCCAGCACCAGGATCTGAAGGTAAGAAACCAGACATTGATGTTAATACTTCATTAATAACACATGCCAGTTTAAACTAATAGCGAAATAGGTATGCTTTCTACCACCAAATTTTTAATTGAAAAAAAAACGTTAAAAGTTGTCGTTTATAAATTTTTCCTGATGTTGCAATATTTCTTTCAATTCAGGCATTAACTAACAGACTAAAATTACAAAGTGTGTAGTCACCTTGGCTTTTAACTTGACAATCTCAGCCTCTGCCACTCCAAGCTTGTACTGGCCCTGGAGAAAACACAGGCTACATTAGACTCTTTATTAAGTTCATTGGTCATAGGAAGTATTCATATAGCCACATTTTAATACACTTTAATACAACAAGTAATACATAGATTGGAACATTTTAAAGGCTTGATCTTTAAATCTTAACATCATACCTATAACTTACAATTTTTTAAATGTATTAACACTGTATTAACACTTTTAACTAAACACCACACCAATTTAGCTAAAGATTTTACCATAATGTCTCTTTTAACTAAACATCACCCCAATTTAACTAACCACCATACCAATTTTACCATCCTGTCTCTTTTAACTAGTCACCACACCAATTTAACTAAATACCATATCAATTTTACCAAACACCACACCAATTTAACCAACCCTGCTTGTTTTTAAAACCCCCTACCTCTTTTAACTTGATAAACAGTTTTTCATGCTCCATGTCCGGTGAAGCGGAACCACTGGAGCTGAGCTGCTGGTTGTCCTCCAGCTCCGACATGGCCAGACTGACCACAGCGGCCACGGAGGTGGACACGGAGTTGTCCGGGGAACTGTCCAGCCCGTCCTCCCCGTTGGACGGCACTGACTGCGGAGTGGTGTCCCCTGCAGCGTTCTCCTGCTCCAGGCGCTCCTGTTCAGCCATCATGTAGTCGTGGTCGCCGTTGACAACGGGTGGCTCACTCTCCTGGGTGTCCTCTATTCCCTGGTCAAGAAAAAAAGTTCTGTCTTTTTAAACAGCTGGATGTGAACAACAGAGCAGCAATATTAGAAAGATGAATGAAATTAACATTTAATGACCAGTAAATATGACTATTTTTCAAGTATGCAGATTCTAAGAAGAGATAAGACTACATATCATATGGTAATTATAATAAATAATCATGTTATAATATTTCACAAATGTTCTATTGGGTTGTTTTAAAAACAGCGGCTGGTTAACAAAATACTGCACCTGAGGTTGTTTTTTTTTGCAGGCATCACTGTTTGGGTCAGGGTTACAGTTAAGGCAAAGGTTAGGATAGCAATATTATTAAAATTATTGAATATTATTAAATTATTAAATATTATTAAAACAATATAGCTATTACACATCTTGCTATATTCTTAGAGGTGCATATTTATCTTATTATAACAGAGTTAAAAGAAGTTTTCTTTTTATTTAATTACTGGCAAAAACAGTGCAATGTACTAATTACATACTGTGATATTTTAGATTAAGTGCTCAATAATTCCAATCTCGGGACCAAGTATAAATAGAATTTAAACACTGAATTTTTAAATCCAAACATAAAATTGTGCTTGCATTCATACTAAAAACTATAAATGTTACAAATATAATATTAATAAAAATGTAAAAGTGAAAATCAATGCAAAATACACTAACATAAAGTAAGATAAATTTATATCCTTCAATTTTTTTAGAATCTTTTATGACATACTTAAAGGGTGGTGTAAAATTATTTTGATTAGTAAAACAAGCTGTTAATGACGAAAGTAAAACTGTCCACGACATAGCAAAATAAATATCTAAATTATGCTAATTAGCATTTAAAATATGCACTTTATCATTTTATATTCATTAAATAGATTTTTGAGCTTGATTGACATGTTAAGAACAAACAGAAAAATTCAATGCTGGGATTTATAATAAATTACTTCACATTATTTTCTTATTTTCACAATGATTTAATTATTAACTGGTAACTTAACAAGAATGGTTCTAGTGACAATAAAGTGTAGTTGTCATTGTTTATCATCAGATGTATTAGTAGCATGGGATAGTTAGCTGGGTTAGTTGGCTTACTAAAGAGAAGAAATCTGGCTTACATTAACTACAGTTGTCTCTTGTATTTTCTGAACAGATGGCAAGATAAGCAAAACTGTGTTAATGGCCTAAGCTACAACTATATTAGCTTCATTAAAATCAAATTAATATTAAGCTTAAGGTCTGTTATCTAGAATAAATTACTAGTTAATTTTATGTTGGGTATGAAAGAATTTTACTATAATTTTAAAGATCACTTGATTACTTTTTTAAAAAACATCATCATTTAAATGTATGAAGTTCAGTTAAAAAGCAGATTACTAATTGATAATTGGCAAACTAAAACTATTTATAATAAAAAAATTTAAAAATTTTAATCAGAGAAAAGGGGGAAGTAACTGTGGAATGTTTTTCTTCACTGGTTACCTTTTCATCAGTTCCAGCTTCGGAACTTGATTCATCATCAGCGGTCTCAGAAGTCTGACGGAGCAACAACTGCTGCTGGTGGGCATGGGCGTGCCTTTCCAGCACCTCATCCTTCGGCTACAGGGTGGAGGAGGGTGGGGGGGACAGGTGTTAGTAGTCGTACAACGGTGGACAGAGGCACAACAACATTGTGGGGGCACGGCACAATAAATGGGGAGAACGGATGTTTTTTAAAAAATATTGAGTTCATCAAGTCTCACCAAAATACTGTTAAGTTGAGCCAAAAGGGGTGAAGCATGGAGAAACTTGCAGTGCTTAATTAATTAAGTTGATAAAGCCATTAGGTCAGCCACAAATATATCAAAACAGTCATACAAGTCAAACTAGCCTCTCATAATTGATTAGGCTAGAGATTTTCACTTACATGTAAAATGCAGTGCTAAAAAGCCAGTATTCTACAAGATGTGATTATAATATGTGCAAGATGTAGTTAAAATGTGTGTAAAATGTGGTTTAAGTTTGTAAGAAGTGATTAATGTATGTAAAATGTGGTTAAAATGTCTGCAAGATGTGGCTAATATTGTGATGCATGAATTGTGGCTAAATTTGTGTAAGATGTTTAAATACCTAAAAAAAGGTTAAAACATAATGATATTTGGTTAATATGTCAACATTTGTGTCTAATAATGAGATGTACGAGTTGTGTCTGAATTTTTTGTAATGTGTTAAAACATCTAAGAGAAAAATTAAACTACAATGGTTAAAATGACCAGTGTTATAGAACGATGCAGTGTTAAGCTACACATGAACATGAACAAGTCAGACAGGTAGAGGTGAAAATCTCAGGTACCGGCTGTCTCACCTGAAAGCTGTCCTCCAGCTGTTTCAGGCGCTGCTGTTCCCTCTCTCTCATCTCCTCCCTGCGTCTGTCCTGCTCTAGAGACTGTTGAATTAATCTGGCCACCTCGCTCTTGCTGGGGTCTTTCTCCCGACCAATCAGAAACCTGAAATCACACACCAATGAAAAAAAATGACTGGCACATAACAAACAAAGCAATTACTTAAAATGGCAATTATCATGTTCTAGGTTGTGTTTTAATCATGGTAATTAGCAAAATAAACCATTTCTTCTTCAAAAAAAATCTAACTGAAGCGTTCTTCATTCTCCTTAACATCTTTATTGATTGGAGAACTAAGTTAATTAAAACAAGCTTCAAGATTCTTTATGGTTATAACAATAATTTTTTTAAAGCAACACAAACGTTACAGATAAAGCACAGCAGCTCAGATGTGTTATAAAATACTGCAGTTGAAGAATGCTCATAGCAACTACTAAAGCTTTTTAGCAATTTCTATAAATATATATTTATGCATCATGAATTGAAGAGTAAAAAATTGATTAAAAACATATCCTATAATTTTATTTTAAAAAGTAATTCATAAAATACAGCTAATAAGATTATCAAATCTAAGTGTGCAAACATCTACATTTTTCTGTTAAACTGCTTTGATTTTTTTTTTCAAAGTTCAAACCCATTAAAAAGTCTAACCAAATTTTTTTTAAATTCTATTATTCAGCCAAAATGCTAAGTAAGATGTTACCACTGAAAGATTCGGAGAAAAATTGTGGAATATTTTCTTCTAACAAAAACAAAAGCCAGACTGGCAAGTTCTGCTAGCTCACATGTCAGAGAAAACAGCCACTTCCTGCTCTGATTGATGTACTGTGTAGCCATAATGCCTCTTCAATTCTCCCCCACCCCCTTAATCATGTCTCAGTTCTTCCATCAATTACACAATGTTAAAGTACACAGCCCCCCCTCTCCAAGACTGTCTGGTTATATTTTAATAAGTTAGAGAAGCTTTCATTAATCAATTAGCTCAAGTGGGAGGGGTTTGAATTTAGGGATTTCCTGATAGACCAGTATTAAACTATCTGGTTAAGATCTTTTATTCATGTACTTTATCAAAACCTTTTAAACATACAAAAAAAAAAACAACTTACAATGTGTTATTTTGATTTATCTGGTAAAAATCACCCAGAAAAATTGGTACAAAAAGAAAAAAAATATAGCACAACCTATACTCAACACTCAACAAACAGTGGATATTGTTTTGCCATCCCTAGCAGAACTTATACTGTAGTGTCCCCCCCCCCCCCCCCCCCCCTTTGTACCAACCACCAACCACATAAAGAAACCACTTACTTTACAATACCACTTGTGTTACGTAAGACAGAGGCAGCATAAGCTTGTGTAACTCCTACTAAACTTTTACCATCAACTTCTATGATTTGATCATTCACTTGTATTCTGAAAACAAAAATTTTACAATTACTTTTTAATGTCTACATCTTGGTCTTTAATTTGATCATTAACTTGAATTCTAAAAATAATTCAAATAACTACTTTTTTATGTCAAAACAAAAGCCATCCACAAATTATAATAATCATATATTATGCCTTTCCTATAGTAAATGGAATTTTATTTTTTCAAAAACATATAAACTTTAATAGTTTTTCAACAAAACAAAACAAAATAAATATTTTTATACTTCATTAAATGATGTTTTTCTGTTAGCACAGAGGAGAGAGACAAGATAAAACAGGCTAAGATTCCAGTAGGAAAAAAGATTTCAAATTTTAATGAAGGTAATTAAACGAATCAATTTTTTTAAAAATAATGTAAACAGAACAGCTCTTTTGTTTTTGTATCAGTTTCACTATCAACAGACACCATCAACAAACAGACATCTTCATCAGACAGCATCAACAAACTGACATTATAAGACAGACATCATCAACATACATCATCATCAGACATAATCAATAGACATAATCATCACACTCATCAGACAGACACTATCAACAGCCAAACACAACAGACACTATTAGCAGAAACCAACAGCAAACAAATACATTGGAACCAATGACCTGCAAATGAAGAGCACCACTTGAACTAGACAGCACCACGAACTAACAGACATCATCACACAACTAACAGACATCATCACACAACTAACAGACATCATCACACAACATGCAGACAGCAGCACCCAACATGCAGACAGCACCACACAACATGCAGACAGCATCACACAACATGCAGACAGCATCACACAACATGCAGACAGCACCACACAACATGCAGACAGCAGCACCCAACATGCAGACAGCAGCACCCAACATGCAGACAGCATCACACAACATGCAGACAGCATCACACAACATGCAGACAGCATCACACAACATGCAGACAGCATCACACAACATGCAGACAGCATCACACAACATGCAGACAGCAGCACCCAACATGCAGACAGCATCACACAACATGCAGACAGCATCACACAACATGCAGACAGCATCACACAACATGCAGACAGCATCACACAACATGCAGACAGCATCACACAACATGCAGACAGCAGCACCCAACATGCAGACAGCATCACACAACATGCAGACAGCATCACACAACATGCAGACAGCATCACACAACATGCAGACAGCATCACACAACATGCAGACAGCATCACACAACATGCAGACAGCATCACACAACATGCAGACAGCATCACACAACATGCAGACAGCAGCACCCAACATGCAGACAGCAGCACCCAACTTACTGATTAGATTTTTGAGCTGCACCATTCGGGGTGAGTGTCTTGATGAAGATGCCAAGCTTCTCTAGTCCAGCATCAGCACCAACTCCCATACCAATGATACTCAGGCCTAGACCTTCAGAACCTGCAGCAACAAAGTCAGATATACAACACCTACAGCAACAAAGTCAGACTTTAAACAACTACAGCAATGTCAGACATACAACATCTACAGCAACAAAGTCAGACTTTAAACACCTACAGCAACAAAGTCAGACTTACGCAACACCTAAAGCAACAAAGTCAGACTTACAACATCTACAGCAACAAAGTCAGACTTTAAACACCTACAGCAACAAAGTCACACTTTAAACACCTAAAGCAACAAAGTCAGACTTTAAACACATACAGCAACAAAGTCAGACTTTAAACACCTACAAAACAACAGCTAAACATTCTTGAACCTACCCATCAACCCTACACAACGACTAAACTTTCTTTGCCCCTACCCATCAACCCTACACAACGGCTAAACTTTCTTTGCCCCTACCCATCAACCCTACACAACAGCTAAACTTTCTTGAACCTCCCATCAACCCTACACAACGGCTAAACTTTCTTGAACCTCCCATCAACCCTACACAACGGCTAAACTTTCTTTGCCCCTACCCATCAACCCTACACAACAGCTAAACTTTCTTTGCCCCTACCCATCAACCCTACACAACGGCTAAACTTTCTTGAACCTCCCATCAACCCTACACAACGGCTAAACTTTCTTTGCCCCTACCCATCAACCCTACACAGCAGCTAAACTTTCTTGAACCTCCCATCAACCCTACACAACGGCTAAACTTTCTTGAACCTCCCATCAACCCTACACAACGGCTAAACTTTCTTTGACCCTCCCCATCAACCCTACATTGATATCACCATGCAGCTAAGGGAGAAGAAATATAATATTTGCTAGTCCCAGTTATAATGCCTGTGTACTTTGCACGAGATAAACTGTTTATTTAAAAATTGAGCCTTTAGTTAAGATATAAAACTGAAATGTAATATTCAGCTCTTAAAACAGACATCAAAAGAATGAGGTTCAATCGAATCCTAGTGCATCCTTTTAAAAAACAATAGAAATATAAGTTAAAAAAATAACAACGCAGGTGTGAGCTGACCTTTGAGCAGGTCAACTGGGAACACATCCATCTTCTCAACCCGTTTCTCCAGTTCATATTCAGCTGATGCTGCAACTGGGTCCACATCTTCATTCCTTCTGTCGTAGTCATTGGTGGAGTATGTGGCAAATACCTGGAAGTAACAGGTGAAATGTTAGCCATACCTACAATACCTAAAGGTAACAAGTGAAATGTTAGCCATACCTACAATACCTAAAAGTAACTGGTAAAATGTTAGCCATACCTACAATACTTAAAAGTAACAGGTGAAATGTTAGCCATACCTACAATACCTAAACGTAACAGGTGAATTGTTAGCCATACCTACAATACCTAAAAGTAACAGGTGAAATGCCAGTCAAACCTACAATACGTAAAAGTAAGATGGTGAAATGTCTGTCATACCTACTATACCTAAAAGTTAGATTTAAAATATTTGATGTCTATAATAGATGTAAGTAACAGTGAACATTTAGCCATACCTTAACGTTCACTCTTTAATCAATTACTAAGACAAGCTTAAGCCTTATTTAGATAGATTCCTTACACCAAAATGCCACAACCACATACATTATGTATTCATGACAACAGATAGAACCTCAACCCTGATGTATTTTACGTAGCTCTGACAACAACAAAAAACTTAGACAACAACTGAAACCAAATATTCAGGCTAGCCAAACACAACATCAAACAGATCTCACAGAGATACAGATCACTCTACAAAACAAAATAACCCTGTGTGTCTACAATGTGTCCATACATTGTTAATGACTGCTAGTGTTTACATAAACCTATTGATTAAAGAACCTGTACACTAACTCAAGGTGGAAACCTGCAGACTCAAAGAAGCAAGTGGCTATTCTAACATATAGTTGTATCTCTTTTCATAGGTTATAAATCTTTAATACCACAATAACAATGTAGACAATGTGCAGATCTACCTTCAATGAAGTTTCAGCATGCATCAGAGCTACACTAAAACATTCATTGCAGCTGCTTTAATGGTTTACTAGCAGAAATAACAGACTGTCGAATATTTTACCTCTATAGAGAAAAAACACCATCACACAGCAGTTATATTCCTAGAAAGTAGAACTATAGACTATGCTAGAACCTCAATAGTAGAAACCACTTTATTTTTTTTTTATTCAGGGGGGGGGGGGGGGGTAAGTCTGAATATAACTCAAGATTAAATAAAGCCAGCATTCAATTCCAGCTGCCAAGCCATGCAATGAAATATTTATTAAAAAAAAAAAAAAAAAAAAAAAAACCACATGAAAACTGGCATTAAATCATGTACAGAAGATACATTTTTTTATTCACAAGACACAGATGAGAGAGAAGTTTATCAGCAATAAATGTGTGCACCTGAGTGCATGTGCACACAGAGTTAGCTCCCCTCAAGTGCCTTCAAAATGGCTGCACTCACATGTAACATTCAAAGAGAGAGAAAAAAAACAGTATGTGTCTATGTATAAAGGTTTTCTCCTGAATATCCATCATAAGAATGTGCAGTAGACGCATGCACTTCAAAATCATTTATTATAAATAACTACTGTTTATCAAATGTAGTTTTTTATAATGAATTTTTTGTATTTTACTTCCTATTGATCAAACTAATGGTCTTTGCAAAAACAAGCCATTAGATTTAAATACCCTTTGTTTAGTGCAATTGTTTCATAGTGTTTACATATAACAGTTTTGGGTTTTCTATATATACACACACACACACACACACACACACCCTCCCCACATTTTAACTAGGTACAGTAGAAAAAAGGTGCAAAGGACAGTTATTCTTATTTTATAACTTCATATAATACTTTTCTTGGCTAATAGGGTCACATTTACTTTTTGTTTGGATTTAGGCTAAGGATGTTTTGAACTAAGAAATATCAAGTGATATACAGTGTAGTTAAACTTAAGGTAACACATGAAAAGAACTAACTGTGAAGAGAAAACACTACATAAATAAACATTAAAGATGGCTTTCTAATACTCTTGGCTGTAGTCTGTAGCACTACCAAGAACTAAAAAACTATGGCCTAATGCAGCCGTTGATATCAAGGACTGACAAACTAAAAACAAATCTAGCCATTGACTATCATGTACTGAGACTGAACAAATCTAGCCATTGAGTACCATGTACTGAGACTGAACAAATCTAGCCATTGAGTACCATGTACTGAGACTGAACAAATCTAGCCATTGAGTACCATGTACTGAGACTGAACAATTCTAGCCATTGAGTACCATGTACTGAGACTGAACAAATCTAGCCATTGACTACCATGTACTGAGACTGAACAAATCTAGCCATTAAGTACGATGTACTGAGACTGAACAAATCTAGCCACTGAGTACCAACCTTGATAGGACTCCTACTGAAGCAAACCCTGGATTGCTTGTGGTACTCTATCTCAACTATAAACAAATCTAGCCACTGAGTACCAACCTTGATAGGACTCCTACTGAAGCAAACTCTGGATGGCTTGTGGTACTCTATCTCAACTATAAACAAACCTAGCCACTGAGTACCAACCTTGATAGGACTCCTACTGAAGCAAACCCTGGATGGCTTGTGGTACTCTATCTCAACTATAAACAAATCTAGCCACTGAGTACCAACCTTGATAGGACTCCTACTGAAGCAAACTCTGGATGGCTTGTGGTACTCTATCTCAACTATAAACAAACCTAGCCACTGAGTACCCACCTTGATAGGACTCCTACTGAAGCAAACCCTGGATGCCTTGTGGTACTCTATCTCATCTATAAACACATCTAACCACTGAGTACCAACCTTGATAGGACTCCTACTGAAGCAAACCCTGGATGGCTTGTGGTACTCTCAACTATAAACAAATCTAGCCACTGAGTACCAACCTTGATAGACTCCTACTGAAGCAAACCCTGGATGGCTTGTGGTACTCTCAACTATAAACAAATCTAGCCACTGAGTACCAACCTTGATAGGACTCCTACTGAAGCAAACCCTGGATGCCTTGTGGTACTCTATCTCAACTATAAACAAATCTAACCACTGAGTACCAACCTTGATAGGACTCCTACTGAAGCAAACCCTGGATGGCTTGTGGTACTCTATCTCATCTATAAACACATCTAACCACTGAGTACCAACCTTGATAGGACTCCTACTGAAGCAAACCCTGGATGGCTTGTGGTACTCTATCTCAACTATAAACAAATCTAACCACTGAGTACCAACCTTGATAGGACTCCTACTGAAGCAAACCCTGGATGGCTTGTGGTACTCTATAAAAACTATAAACAAATCTAGCCACTGAGTACCAACCTTGATAGGACTCCTACTGAAGCAAACCCTGGATGGCTTGTGGTACTCTATAAAAACTATAAACAAATCTAGCCACTGAGTAACATGTACTGAGACTGAACAAATCTAGCCACTGAGTACCCACCTTGATAGGACTCCTACTGAAGCAAACCCTGGATGGCTTGTGGTACTCTATCTCATCTCCACTGCTCTCGTCCTCTTCCTCGCTCTCTATAGGGGGGATCTCAATAAAAGTCAATTTGCTGTAGTCTATCTCTAGAGGCTCACCTGCCAACACAAGGAGGAAACATGACGTAAACATATCACTAGGACTGGGGGGTGGGGGAGTGCAGGTGGGGTCAAAACATAAAGGGGGTGGGGATAAAGTAGCAGGGGTTTAAATACTTAGGATGGGGGGAAGGGTGTATAAAAATTATCAGTGTAGTGTGGGTGGGGAGGGCATAAAAAAACTGCAAAGGAAACTGTGGAGTGGGGAGAGGACAAAAAGCTGGTGTGGGGAGGGGGTATAAAAACTTGGATCTTCCAACTGGCACAAAAATTGGATAATGTGTGCTACTGTAGGCCTATAACATGATGGCCTGGATATTCAAACTGGCACAAAAAATGGATAAGGTGTGCTACTGTAGGCCTATAGCATGTTGGCCAGGATATTCAAACTGGCACAAAAAATGGATAAGGTGTGCTACTGTAGGCCTATAGCATGTTGGCTGACTTCAAAGTGAAAAGATAACATTTTTGTATAGCAGCTTGGGGTGATATTATCAAGACATTTTTTATAACATGATAAAAAGGAAAGTTTTTACTACTAAATTTTTATGGATATAATGGATTTAGTTAATCCTACTTTTTTTTTTTAAATCATCACAAAATTTACTTCAGATTTGTAAATAAACTCAGTTGTCCAAATTATTTCTTATCTTGAAAAAAAAAAACACCAGTTCCTGAAGTATTTTATAAAAAAAAAAAATGGGAAATGGAAATTAAAAAAAAAGAAGAGACATAACAAGTGCTTCGTACCATCAGGTAAAACTTCTGAGGAATCTTCCTTCCCATCACCTGACTCCCTGGCTATATGGAAATCTTTTTTTGTAAAGCTGGTCGTCACATCAACATTGCCATTTTCCAAGCTGCAGGAGAGAGGAAAAAATGTGTTTATAGATACAAAATTATATTTATCATTGGGGCGGATAGAGAAAATATGGGCAGTGGGTTATTTAAAAGATCTGCAGCCGGTGTTTGAAAGATGTTCAACAGGTTATTAAAAGATGTACAACAGATATATAAAAGATGTACAACAGGTTTATAAAAGATGTGCAGCAGGTTTATTAAAGATGTACAACAGATATATAAAAGTATTAAAAGATGTACTACAGGTTTATAAAAGATGTTCAACAGGTTTTTAAAGATGTACAACAGATATATAAAAGATGTACAACAGGTTTATAAAAGATGTGCAGCAGGTTTATAAAAGATGTACAACAGATATATAAAAGATGTACTACAGGTTTATAAAAGATATGCAGCAGGTATATGAAAGATTGTGTTACAAGTATAATCCTGTTTTATTGTGTGTTTCAGTTATTCACTGTTATTATGAATCATAGATCTTGCTAAAATATTCAAACAAGTTAGGATTACTGTTGTAGCCAGAATATGTTTTAGAATTTGTGGATTAATCAAGTCTATTATCAAAAATATAACCTTCAAATATTTTTAAATTTAAGCATAGAACATAGTCCATTGAAAATTTTCTATGTAAACAAACTACTTGTCCCTATAACTTCACTATGTAACAGGCTAATTGTTCCTATAAATTCTATCCCCCCATATAAGCAGAGAATTTGTCCCTGTAACCCCCCCTGTAAGCAGAGAATTTGTCCCTATAAACCCCCATGTAAGCAGAGAATGTGTCCCTATAAACCCCCATGTAAGCAGATAATTTGTCCCTATAAACCCCCATGTAAACACAGTACTTGTCCCTATAAAACCCCATGTAAGCAGAGAATTTGTCCCTATAAACCCCCATGTAAGCAGATAATTTGCCCCATAAACCCCCATGTAAACACAGTACTTGTCCATATAAACTCCCCATGTAAGCAGAGCATGTGTACCTATAAATTTCCCTCGGAGAGTACTTGTCCCTATAAACCCCCATGTAATCAGAGTACTTATCCCCATGTAATCAGAGTGCTTATCCCCATGTAATCAGAGTACTTATCCCCATGTAATCAGAGTGCTTATCCCCATGTAATCAGAGTGCTTATCCCCATGTAAGCAGAGTACCCTCCTCCCTATGGCATCAGAGTATTTGTCCCTATAACCCCCCCACATGTAATCAGAGTACTTATCCCCATGTAATCAGAGTGCTTATCCCCATGTAATCAGAGTACTTATCCCCATGTAATCAGAGTGCTTATCCCCATGTAATCAGAGTGCTTATCCCCATGTAAGCAGAGTACCCTCCTCCCTATGGCATCAGAGTATTTGTCCCTATAACCCCCCCACATGTAATCAGAGTACTTATCCCCATGTAATCAGAGTACCTATCCCCAGGTAATCAGAGTGCTTATCCCCATGTAAGCAGAGTACCTATCCCCATGTAATCAGAGTACTTATGCTCATGTAAGCAGAGTACGCTCCTCCCTATGTCAGAGTACTTGTCCCTATCCCCCCCCCATGTAATCAGAGCACTTATCCCCATGTAATCAGAGTACCTATCCCCATGTAAGCAGCCTACTTACAAAGGTGCCAGCTGTCTAGCCTTGAGCTTCTGAACCGTTCTCGGGCTAGGTTTATCTATTAATAGCATCTTCCAATCTCATAGCTCCCTCGTCTTACAACACTACGAGCATCCAATCATTTATCAACACTGCCCGTCTCATTGTCAACACGTAATCCAATAAGTGTATCCAGCATAATCCAGCACTGCATTAGCCATATCCACTAACACCAACAAAGAAAATCTCTTTACGACATTATATCCAGGTTTTATAAATCCACGAAAACCAGAATAGCACCACAGATAAATAATTCACCAGAAAAATCACGTTACTTATCAACAAAACAATGTTTTCCTCGTCACGTAAAACAGTTCAATACATCCATCTGAAATAGCCGAGTGAAAGAAGAAAAAAAACACAACACTTTAACGCCATCGTAAAACACCATCTTCCTCACCAGCAGTGTTGCTATCATACATCTGTCAACCGAAGCAGCATCGACAACTGTTTTCTTACTCCACCAAGCCCATCGAATCAATAGCTCTCTACAACATGTTACTGTTTACTACCATTTGATCCCCCCCTCACAGCACTAACTGCGCTCAAACTTCACGGAGAGAAACAGCTGGACAGATTTGCTTTAAAAAAAAAACTTACCAAAGCGGTGATAATGATACATTTACTGCGGCAATAAAATGTATAGATCAGGGCATGGGACATGTGACCGCTGTGTTAGCGTGCATACGGGGAAACAAAGGGGAACAAGCACAGCGGTCAAATGGATGAAAGGGACACAATTTAAGTTGTATCAGCAATCATGTAGCAGTCGGGAAGTAAGCTGCTAACAACAGCAGCTTTGTTTTACAGCTACCAACAATAGGAGCTGAGAAGTACAGCTGCTCACAACAGGAGCTGTGTTTAACAACTGCACACAACAGGAGCCCATAAGCTGTACTACAACTAGCAACTACAAGAGCTGACAGGTATAGCTGCTCACAACAGGAGCTGTGTATTACAGCTACCCAGAACAGGAACTGTACTACGACTGGTACAGCTGCCCACAACAGGAACTGTACTACGACTGGTACAGCTGCCCACAACAGGAGCTGTAGTATGACTGGTACAGCTGCCTACTACAGGAGCTTGTATTACAGCTGCCCACAACAGGAGCTGTGTATTACAGCTACCCATCACAGGAGCTGTACTACGACTGGTACAGCTACCCACAACAGCAGCTGTGTATTACAGCTACCCATCACAGGAGCTGTACTACGACTGGTACAGCTACCCACAACAGGAGCTGTGTATTATAACTGCCCACAACAGGAGCTGTGCATTATAGCTGCCCACAACAGGAGCTGTGTATTATAACTGCCCACAACAGGAGCTGTGTATTACAGTTGCCCACAACAGGAGCTGTGTATTACAGTTGCCCACAACAGGAGCTGTGCATAACAGCTGCCTACTACAGAAGCTGTGTATTACAGCTGCCCACGACAGAAGCTGTGCTACGCCTAGCCACCACAGGTGCTGACAAGTACCGCTGCTCACAACTTGAAGGCTTCATCAAATGACAACCACAACACAAAAAAACTTTAGCCTACTTCAGTATAGACCCGTACAGATTCTACTTCAACTCTATATTGTGCCCTCTTCCATAAAACACACCATGAAAATATTCAAAACAACACCAGACACACATAAAATAATCAAACCTTAGATTACTGTAAATCCTTCTGTAATTATACAAACAAAACGTGCGCTTAATTTGTTTATGAAAAGGGAGAACTGCTATTGCAAGAACATGCATAGATCTAATATTGCTAGACTCCATATACATCGTCCTTTATTAGTTTTTGAAGTCAAAATAAACTATACATCACAGCCCATCTTAAATTTTTTTTAAACCTGTGAGGGGTGCGGAAAATATTTCGCGTTTAGGTGAAAATATAAAAAAAGCAAATATATTTATTTAAAAATCCGGCAGTAAACATAAAATGGAAGTAAACACATCTAAAATAAGACGGGAGCTCTCTACGCGTAGTGTAAACACATGCCGTGGTGGATGGCTAGCCGTAAGGTTTACAGCGGCTGGTACTTCAAACTTTTACCTTAAGCTCCGGCGTTTACGTGAGCTGCGAGATTAACACGTAACTTTTTATCTACGTGTCGTGGCAGAATGGGGATGCCATCTAGTCTGTTGTCATGAAAACACAAAGCTCTAATCTTCTCAGGGAATAAACAGCGCATAAAACAGCGAGTGTCACAGTGACATTCATTAATCCGCGCCTACTCACGAGTTGTCGTTCCTGCGACAGAGTTCATGTCAACAAAGGAGTTGTCTACCTTTGTTTAAAAGCGTAGCGCACACAAACACACACCGAAGACTGTAGACTGGGGGAGTTAAACTTGGTACTGGATCCCATCCCACTGCCTATTGAAAACATGGGGAATAGAAAAGCTGCCCCCACCCCCCGTGTCAGACAAGGAATGCTAGCACCCCACCCCCTATCCCTACCAATCTCTCTTTGTTGAATAGTCAGCTGTCTCTAATTTAGACTGTGCTTTTCCTCCGTCCCTCCTCCAAACCATACAAAACCAACCATGCCTCACACAAGACTATACGTTCCAAATTAAGCTCCTTTCACTGCCCGCATACACACAAACACACTAGCTTCTCCATGAAAAGCTACACCGTCTATGTATGTTACCCCTGTCCGTTTCAATTCCCTCTACGGGCTATACCTTCAAATTATGCCCCTGTCATTAACTTTACACAACAATACATCGGCCCTTGTTGGTATGGTCAGCCACGCCCCTTTCAATTTGCCCCGACAGTGAAGCGCTATCAAGGTGAGGATGTATCAGCTCTTTGAAAGCCTACGATAAAATGGCAGGAAGTTAGCCCAGTCCCGTGAAGATAAGGCGTCTTTCACTAGCTGAGGTAAGGGAAGATTTACACATGTAGTGGTAAAATAGCCTCTGTGACGTAACGCAAGATTTACACACGTAGTAGTGAAATAGCCTCTGACGTAAGACGATATTTACACATGCAGTAGTGAAATAGCATCTGGGAGTAAGACGATATTTACACATGTAGTAGTGAAATAGCCTGTGTGACGTAAAGCGTAATTTACACAAATAGTGGCAAAATAGTGGTTGCCTTTGTGACGCAAGACGATATTTACACGTGTGGTTAATTAGCCCATTGTGACGTGCCGCGATATTTTCACGTGTAGTGGTTCATTTACTCGCGTGACTTAATTAGTGCTTAATTAGTGAGTCCAGCGTCGAGCAGCTGAAACACAAGTGCCCTAACAACACGCCACAAACACGGTCAGACCGCAGCGCACACTGTAAACATTTGTATCAAGCCTTGTGAACGGTACAAGCTAGTAGAATTCTAC